CCTACCCTAACCTTACCCTAACCTACCCGTACCCCCCGACCCCCCTACCCGTACCGCCCTCCTCCTCCTCCTCCTCCTCCCCTCTCCCCCTCCCCTCTCGTCTCTCTCTCTCCCTCTCCCCCCTCGTCTCTCTCTCTCCCTCTCCCCCCTCGTCTCTCTCTCTCCCTCTCCCCCCCTGTCTCTCCCTCTCTCTCTCACACAGAGGCACCCCTCACACGCACGCACACGCCGCTGCCATGGACTCGCAGCCCGGCTACGTGTCGGCCCTCGACACCCGCAAGCAGGCCACCCTCAGCGCAGCCATCGCCGCTGCCGCCCACCACGGCTCCGCAGGACTCGGCGCAAACGCAAACGCATACCGCTCCCACTCGTCCAAGGCACCACCACCACCACCAACAGAGTCGCCCTCAATCTACACCGACCCCTACGAGTTCCAGAGCACCGCACCGCCCCCGCCACTCCCAAACGTCGTCTCCACGCGGCCCACCACCCACAACTTTCTCGCCATGGACCCCTACGACGATCGTCCCCTCGGCGGCGGCGGGCCCGCAGACCTCGCACGCGCAGACACCCTAGCCCCCGGAGATTCCATCAGCAGCTACAACGTTCGCATCGGCAGCAACCTACACGGCGACGGCGACGGCGACGGCGACACCTACCACGACCACGCCCAGACCCGGGGGCGCGACCCCAGCCACCCCACCGCCATCGACTACGAAGAGATGCACCACAAGGCATCCGCCCACGCCTACCCAACGCGCGACGACGGCTACGAGGCCAGGGACTTTTACGACGACAGCGGCTACGACCACCGCCCCTATGACTCGAGCGCCACCGCCCTCCCGCTCAAGCACCACGCCGGCCAGATGGGCTACGCAGAGGACGAGGAGGACGAGGAGCACCAGCTCAAGCGCGGGCCCGAACCCCTCTTTTCAAACCAGGTCCACCACCACCGTCCGGGCCTCTCGGACGAGGAGGCAAAGAGCGGCCTGCTGAGCCGCTTCACGGCAGGCGCCGGCGCAGGAGGGGCCGCCAGGACTCCCGAAGACAAGCTCCACGAGCAGATTGAGCGCCGTCGGCAGGGCATTGGGCGGCAGAGGTGGCCGATTGTCAGCTACGTAATGACGTGAGCATCGCGGCGACCAGAAGCGCGGCGCAGCGCAGCGCAGCTGATGGTTAGGCTAGGGAACCGTGCCACCTCGACCAGGGCTGATGCCTTGCCTCTCCCCCCCCCCCCCCCCCCCCCCCCTCCTCTTTCCTAACCCCCTCGCGCTCTTTTTTGACCCGCCTCTCACAGCGTCGCCCTGGTCGCCGTCTTCATCGTCGAGCTGGTCAAGGCCAAGTCGGTGACGGGCCAGGCGGTGCAGACGCATCCCAACATCAGCCCGATGCTGGGTCCGTCGTCCGAGTTTCTCATCTCGTTTGGCGCGCGCTTTGTCCCGTGCATGCGCGACATTGCCAAGCTGCCCGTGACGACCGAGCTGCCCTGCCTCAACGCCTCGGCGTCGTCGTCGGGCACCTACACCCAGGACCAGCTGTGCCCGCTGTGGCAGACGTGCGGCCTGGCGGACGCCAACTCGCCCAACCAGGGCTACCGCTTCATCTCGGCCATGTTTATCCACGCCGGCTTCGTCCACATCATCTTCAACCTGCTCGTCCTGCTCACGCTGTGCGCCCAGATTGAGCGGCTGGTCGGCTCAGTGCCCTACACGCTCATCTACTTTGCCGGCGGCGTCGGGGGCAATCTGCTGGGCGGCAACTTTGGACTGATCGGCCAGCCGGCTCTGGGCGCGTCGGGCGCCATCTACACGTGCATCAGCGTCGAGCTGGTCGACCTCATCTACAACTGGCAGTACGAGTACCGCGCCAAGACGCGGCTCGCCATGTCGCTCATCTTTACCGTCATCGGGTTGGCGCTCGGGCTGCTGCCGGGCATCGACAACTTTTCCCACATCGGCGGCTTCTGCGTCGGCATCCTCGGCGGCCTCCTCTTCGCGCCCGCCATCCACCCGACGCGGCGCCACCGCATCGTCTGCTGGCTCCTTCGCCTCGTCTCGCTCGGCCTGCTCGTCGGCTTCTTTGTCGGCCTCGCCGTCAACTTTTACAACTCCGCCGACCCCTTGACCGCATGCACCTGGTGTCGCTACCTCAGCTGTCTCCCGGTCTTTAACTCGTGCAAGGGCGACGGCCTCACCACCTCAACCACCACCACCACCACGACAACATCGCCGAACAATAACTTCTTTGTCGGCAACTAAGACCCCCCCCCCCCTTTCCTCGCGTCCGCCATAGCCCTCTAATACCTATCCCAGTCGACAGTCGACTACATCGAGACTCGTGCCAACATGGACACTCGCCTTTCGTCTCCCGCCCCACCCACCTTCCTTTTTCCTTCTCTCCCACCTCCCAAACGCACCCTGTACTCTGACCCGGCTGTATACATACCACTTCCCCCCCTCCTCCCTCGGGACCGACAGGCATCCCTTGACTTGCTTCGTGCACACACTCATTCGCACCTCGAACCTCGCCGCCCAGCGTGGCTGCGCAACCGCAACGGCGACGGCGATGGCGACGGCGAAAAGCTTTGATTGTCCATGCGGCAGGGCTGGGTATCCGAGGACCTCTCTCCATCCACCTGCGTGCAAAAGAGGCGAGACGGAGAGCGGGTGGCGATGCGTGCGGAACGGGAGGGGTAGCGTGCGCGTGAAGGCGTTGCGGCACGAAGACGAAGGACGAAGGACAAAGGCGGGTCCGCAGATGGGCGGCGGTCAAGGGAGCGTGATGGGCCAACGTACGCCCGAGGACAGAGCAGAAGCAGGAGCGCGTGACGAGGCCTAGAGGAGAACGGCGATGCTCAACGACAGCAGTGCGGTGGCCGCTACGGTCGGGAGGACCAGAGAAGCCGCCGGGCCCGAGACGGCCGCGTTCGAGTTTGACGACGAACCGCCAGAGGGCCTGGCCGAGTTCGAGGCTGTCGACCCGCTCGCGCCGCCCGACGACGACGACGAGGGCGGCGAGGGCGGCGACGACGACGTCGACGTGGGCACCTTGACGCCGATGGGGAAGCGGGCCAGGCACCGCTCGTAGCCGGCATCGACGTCCGCGGGCGACGACACGGCGCGGTGCGCGGTGGCGTTGCCGGCAAAGTCGCACGACTGGGCGTCGAAACTGGAAATCTCTTGGTAGGTCGACATGGCCCACTCGAGGCGCTGCGCCACGCCGCAGAACGAGTAGTTGCCGTACGTGCCCGCCTCGCCGTCGGCAATGATGGCGTTGCAGCCGGAGCCGGCCTCGTCGAGGTAGCCGCACGCCGTGCCGATCAGGCTGCCCAGGATCGTCGGCTCGTTTTCCGTCGCGGCCACGACGTGGCATCCAAACGCCTCGTCGCTCAGGCAGCTGCACAGCTCGCGGTTGGGCGTGGGCGGCAGCTGCGGGCTCGCCGGGAAGCTGTCCGACGCCTCGGCGCACGCCGGGAAGCTGGGCGCCGCGCTGCTGGGCGACGTCGCGGGCGGTGCGGCCCGGGCGTAGGCGGCCTTGAGGTTGTCCCAGGCCGGGTTGCGCAGCGTGACGCTGTCGCCCGAGACGGAGACGAGGCCGTAGTCGAGGCCATAGTCCTGCGGAAAGTAGCTGAACGCGATGCCTCCGCTAAAGGTGTCGGTCATTGGCGCCGACAGCAGCGAGGCCACCTCGGTCCAGGGCCGGGGCTGGCCATCGAGGCCCTGGACGCAGCCAAACTCGGACAGGTAGGCGGCGACGGGCAGGTTGGAGAACTCCTGCACCAGCGAGTCGTAGCCCGATGCGTCGTAGCTGCTGTTGCCGCACCAGGCGTACGAGTTGAGGCCGTACAGGTCGATGCTGACGTCGTCGCTGCCGCACGTCAGGAACTGGGCCAGCTGGTCGCGCCAGTTGTCGAGGCCCGAGGCGCCGTCGGTCGAGGCGTAGCTGGTGAGGATGCGGTCGTGACCCTGGGCGCGCAGGTAGGCCTTGATGTCCCGCGCGGCCGCCTTGATGAACGGCGCGGCGTTGGCGTTGGAGCTCTGCGTCACGACCTCGTTGGCCAGGCCGACGGCCAGCAGGTTGTCGTAGCCCGCAAACGCGTCGATGGTGGTGATATAGAGGTCGAGCAGCCCGACGTCCCAGGTGGGCTCGGCGCGGTTGATGGAGCCATTGAGGGGCAGGGCCAGCTCGAGGATGACGTAGATGCCGGCGTCGCTGAAGCTCTTCATGCACGCATCGTGGTCGAGGGCCGAGTTGACCGAGTAGACGCGGACCGTATTGACGCCGAGGTCGCGCAGGTTGGCCACGTCGCGCGCGCACGCCTCGGGCAGCGCCAGCGGGTCGGTATAGCTGTCGGGCTCCGGGAAGCCGCCGTTTTCCTCATTGGCCTGCGTCGACTCGGCCACCGCCGCCGCCTCCTGGTAGGCGATGCCCTTGATGTAGAATCGGTTGTCGCCGTCGTAGAGGTACTTGCCGCGCCTCGTGATTTGCGGGATGGCCGCCGACGGCTTGGCCAGCAGCAGCGCGGCCGAGGCGGCCAGGGCGACCGAAGCAGCCGCCACACGGTCCAGCAAGAGCTTCATGGTGGAATGGCGGTCGAGTGACGCTGTGCCTGGTGGAGCGGTGCAAGGACGGTGCTTGCGCGATGGCGATCGATGGAAGGCAGGAGTAGGAGTGGTCCAGGCGCCGAAGTGAGGATCGAGTCTGGGCGATGGGAGGATGGGTATATGGTGGAGCAGAGGCAAGAGAGCTGGACGGTGGCGGTCAAGGTAACACTCCTATGAGGCGGCAGCGGGCAGGGCCGGGGGAAGACAGAGGCTTGGGAACCACGAAAGAAGGACAGGACGGACGAGGTGGTACGGGTGCCGACCGGCGCCAAGACGAGGGGCGGCAGATGCACGGAAGGGCGGCCGTGATGGCACGAATAGCGCGGGGAAGCGAGCAGGAGGGTGGGGGCTAGGTAGGTAAGGTGGGCTAGACACGGGCTTCCAGCATGAGCCCACTCCGCTCTGGAACCGACTCGATCTTACTCCTCGACCACCGGGACCAAGGCTTGACACGCCAACCAGAGGGGCGCCTGAGACGCGTGTAGGAATCCTGCCTATGTAGCCTGTCCCGTCCTCGCCAGGCCAGGCGTCGCCGCTCAGTCGGTCCTCGGTCCTCGGCCCTCGGCCCGGCGTTGGCTTGCGTGGTCCTTGAGCTCCCCCTCAAGGCTTGGTCGAGACATAGCCCCGCCCTGCTTCAGGACGGCTCTCTCGTGTCGAGGTGAACAACATGATACCGCGTCACTTGTCGCTCTCTCCAAGGGCGAAGGGGGCCCGACTACGGCGACCCCGCTGTAGGACGCAGCGGGTTCTGCAGCTGAATGCCAAAAAGAAATAGAGGCGGCCGACATGAGGCGGGCGGCCTGGCCAGGCAGCCCAACAACAGGAAGCAAGGCAAGCAGCGTGGATGCGGATCTCGCATGATCCCAGGCTTAGACAGCCGAAGAAGGCACCCCGCTCCAACACCACAGCATCCACTCCCGCCCGTTCTTGGCCAGGCCCACTGAGTCGCGATAGAGTGTCTTGGCGGCGGCGGCGGCGTGGCGGCTTCGTAGAACGATTCTTGGATTCTGCCAGCCCTGACCTCTGCTTGCAGCACTACACTACTACTCCGCCTGCTGGCGCTTGGCCTCGCCGTCCGGCTGTGGGCTGCTCGAAGGGCCAGGCCGCGCCTCTTTGCCCCTGCCTCCTCGTCTTGTCGCTCGCACGGAGGTCGCGCTCCTCGCTTGGCTCGCCACCTCCTGTCTCTTTTTCCTCGCTGTACCTGCGCGCAAGCTCCTGTCGAGGCATGGTGCCGTTGCTGAGCTTTCGCAGGGCACTCGCAGAGAGGTGTCACACGGACGTCACAAGTTGTGTATGTGGTCTCCTGCCCTGCTTCGCTTGTGCGGACCGCGTGCTGGCTGGGTACCCGGAGAACCGGCGAGGCGGTCTCGGTCCCGCCGAATGGAAGCACCGCCTTCCTTCGGCGAGCTTGCTCTCGTCAGCTTGCTCGCCTGCGCGACAAGGCGAGCGTCGTCCTGGCCTGTCTCTTCTCGAGACCGCCAAGGAGACGGCGTGGCCGCTGCGGTAAGTGGTTAGAGCCGGCTGAGCAAGGCGTCGCGGCTGTGTTGGATGTTTGCTCATGGAGCAGCGATGAAACCGGTGCGGGTTCTTGGCGCGCCGCGCTACGATCAGGTCCAGATTGGGTCGGGTCAGTCCGGATCCGCCCAGCCAGGTCATCGGACGAGGCTGAAGCAAGGCGTGTGTCTTCGTCGGGAGCAGGCAGCAGGCTACCGCGCCGTCAGGACCGTGGTGGCACTTGGCGTCCCTGACGGCTTACGTCTTCCAGCGCCAAGGGTGTGTGACGATCGCTGTTGTTCGAGGTGGCGCGCGGAAGCTCTCCCGAGTCTTGGCATCCCCAGAGGGCGCCGGTCCTCGACATCGTGGCGAGCAGACAGCCTAGGGTAGGAACGCGCGCCGCCGTCGTCGAGCGTTCTTGGCAAGCATGTCCTAACTAACCAGGCCGCGCGATGTCTGACCGGGTCCCTCTGCCCTACCGTGGCTTCGTGTGTGGCCGGCAGCAGCCTAGCTTGTTGCCTTCATCATTCTGACCTCGTGATGCGCGACGCAGCATCCAAGTCGGATCCGTCAACACTCGGAGCCGGCAGCATGCACCATCGCAGGCGGTTTTGCCACCGTTTTTGTCGTGGATTTTACACAGCCGTTTGGGCCCGACAAGGCTGTGCCTGGCCAGGCGAAGCCGCTGGCTCTGGCATCGTAGGGGCCTGCCGTGTCCTGCCTCGGTCGCGCTGAGACTGCCCACTACCGTCACCGCCGGTCTTCCATACAGGACAACGCCTGATCCGGGCCAGGTTGAGCTGAGATGATGCGGTGCCGGGCACCATGCCGAGCGACCCCCGTGGACATCCCGAGGTGTTGCTTCGCGCTCTGAATCAGCGAATCCCGACCCACCATGCCGAGATCGAGTGGACAGAAGACGTCGACCCGGCGGACAAAACCACGGCCGAATGCCCGTCTAGCCACGGCCCACGGCCCACGGGCAACGGCCTTCCATGCCGCGGTGTCCCTCGAGGAACGACGCAGACCACGGGCGACGGCTCACCCGCTGCACGCTAGGGATTCGACGGAGACGTCTGCGTCCCGGGCAAGGCGCTCATTTCTTGGATTGGTGGCGACGACGGCGACTGCGGCGGCGGGTTTCCGTCGTGCTCGGACAAAGGGCCAACCTGGCCAGACGACCTTCGCCAGCAGCTGTGCCTGCTTGCCGCGAGAGCATCCAGCAAGCAAGGCTAGGTCGGGAGCGCGCGAGACCCTGCTCCTCGTTCTGGCCGCCTGTTCAGCCTGCCAGCTGTGATCCGACGATGAAGCCGGCAAGCTGTCGTTGGTGGTGCGCCCGACCTGCAGAAGGTGGACGGACGTCTGTCGGCGTCGATATCGACGTGCCTGGCAGCTGGCTCGCCGCCGCCCTTCGTCAAGCTGCGCTTTGCCTTGCCTTGCCTGCGATCTCGATCCACCGCCGTGGATAGGGGCCAGGCCGAAGCGTCCAAGGCTCTCCGTGGCCAGCCGGCTGGGCAAGCAGAGGCCAGGCAGGGCGGCGTGTTTGGTTGTGCGTGGCCGTCTCGAATTGCCAGGTAGGCTGCCTGCCTGCCGGCCTAGCCTGTTTCCCTCTCTGGCCTGCGCCCGCCTGCCTCACGCACGCCTGGCGATCGCGGCACGCCCGGCCCCCGAAGTGCGTCGCCCTGGCCAAGCCCTCACTTGGCCGCCTCCGCCGCCGTTGGATCGACGCTCGGTGCCCCTGATCGCCTCTGCGACCTGCTCTACGCCTAGGTGGTGTCCGTACGTACTCGCGATCTGACGGTCAGCGAGCCGTTCCGCCGTCATCAAGTCAGAGGAAGCCCTTTCGAGGAGGCCTAGCCTGACCCCGCCCTACGGCTCACGATTAGAGGTTGATGAAGGCAGGCGTCCTGGTCGGCCAGGGACGAAAGAAAGAGGGATTGCCTGTGAGGCAGGCAGGGTTGCTTTCACTTCGGCCAAAAAGGTTTGGAGCTCTGCCAAAGTCTCCAAGCCCGGGCCATCTACCTGTTTGGCCTGGCAGCGGCCCGTCAGAAGGCAGGCGAGCCAGGCCAGGGGGCTGGAGCGAGAGGCGGGGGATCGACGCGCGCGTCGGGCAGAGGAGAGGCAGGGGTCGGCCAGGCAGTCGGCGGGCTGAGGAGCAAGCTAAGGCCAGGGCAACACATACAGCCGTAGCCTGGCCGGTGCACGCCTTGCGGCAGGCGGCTCCTTGTCACCGTCTCCTGCCCGCCAGCCGCCCTGCCCGAGAAAGGGTGCGTGCCGGGCCAGCGTGAAGCAGGAGACTCTGAGGAGAGGCAGGCAGGCGGGCGGGCGCCGACGAAACCCTCGCTGCACGCCGTTGCGCGCTGGCCGGCTCGCCCTGCCTGCCACGCCCTGCCTGCCTCGCCTGCTCGCTCGGTCGTTGGGTTTTTCGCCAGCTTCAGGGCTTCGAGCCAGCTTGCGTTGACTTTTTCCTGTTTCTTTGGCGTGGTCGCCCAAGGTCCGGCCCCCCTGCGTCGTGTTTGCGTGCGATTTCGAATCGAAGTGCCTATCCGCGGCCCCTCGCACCTGCTGGAGACAGCCCCGTCACGCCCAGGCAGGCAGGCAGGCAGGCAGGCAGGCAGGCCGGCGCCGCCTAAACTCGACCACCACCTGCCTCAGCCCCTACCCTCGCTGGCTCGGCCCTCGCTCCGTATCGCACCCTCACCCTCTCGCTCACCCTCTCCCTCTCCTGCGAAGCCATCGTGCTTGTTCCTCCGACCCTTCCGCCGCCCGCCCGCCGCCGCCAGCCGCCCAAACGCCGCGCCCGCCAGTCCTGCCTGCTCCCAGGCCAAACGAACCACTTGCCACCACCACCACCTCCGTCCCGCACCCCTCACCTCCCGCCAACCACCCCCCTCCTCTCATCACCAACCGCCTGTCCCGACGTCCTTGACCGCCTCTCCGACTGACGGTGCCCAAACGCAAGGCTAGCTTGATTCCCTTCTCTGATCGCATCAGGGACTTGGGACAAGGCTGCTCTTGCCAGCGACGTAGCGTACGGACAAATCTGTACAGAGACCGCTGTGCTCTGCTCCTTGGCGCTCCCCCACCGCCTCTTTCTCGCGACGGCAAGCTTCGAACTACACACTCTGCCACGACCGGCCGAGACAGCGTCTTGATCCGCACCGCCAACAGCCTGGACAATTGAACGGGGCGATCGCGGGCGACGTCGAGACTCGACAGTCTTCCCTTCACGAACTTCCCTTATCTTCCCTCTTTCTCTCACTCTTCGCTTGCACCGATCCACCATCATCGCCCTTTCTCTCTCGCGCTTCCATCCTCGAGCTCCCTAGGCCGACGCTAGCGGGCTAGAACAGACCGCCGGCATGTCTTCACATCACGGCCCCGGCGGCGGCCACCCGCCCCAGCAGCCGCCCAATCCGTTCAACGGCCCCGCCTACAACGACGACAATGGTTCCGAGGCCAGCTACTTCCCCAACGAGAGGCGCGACACGTTTGCGTCCGAGGGCAGCGTGGCCGAGCTTATCCCCGGCCAGAGCTACGACGGCGACTCGTACGAGGGCGGCTCTTACGCCTACAGCGGCGAGCAGGGCGGCCAGCGCGCCTATGGCCACGGGCCCGCCAGCGGCTTTGGCCAGAGCTCGTACGCCGCCTCGGGCATCTCGAGCCCGTACCCGGACATGCCCGCGGGCGGGTATCGTCAGAGGGAGCCGTACCCGGCTTGGACCGCCGAGCACAACATCCCGCTTTCCAAGGAGGAGATCGAGGACGTCTTTATCGACCTCGCCAACAAGTTCGGCTTCCAGCGCGACAGCATGCGCAACATGTACGACCACCTGATGATCATGCTCGACTCGCGCGCGAGCCGGATGAGCCCGCAGCAGGCGCTCGTCACGCTCCACGCCGACTACATCGGCGGCGAGCACGCAAACTACCGCAAGTGGTACTTTGCCGCCCAGCTCGACCTCGACGACGCCATCGGCAAGTCGCAGAACCCGGGCCTTGCGCGCGCCGCCAGCATTGCCAACCGCGGCGCCAAGACGGCCCGCGGGCCCGCGGCCAAGCTGCAGAACGCCAGCGCCAAGTCGCTCGAGAGCGCCTCGTCGCGGTGGCGCGACGCCATGAACCGGATGAGCGACTACGACCGCCTCCGCCAGATCGCCCTCTACCTGCTCTGCTGGGGCGAGGGCGGCCAGGTCCGGTTCGTGCCCGAGTGCCTCTGCTTCATCTTCAAGTGCGCCGACGACTATTACCGCTCGCCCGAGTGTCAGAACCGGATGGAGCCGGTGCCCGAAGGCCTCTACCTGCGCGCCGTCGTCAAGCCCCTCTACCGCTTCCTGCGCGACCAAGTGTTTGAGGTGGTCGACGGCAAGTTTGTCAAGAAGGAGCGCGACCACGACAAGATCATCGGCTACGACGACGTCAACCAGCTCTTCTGGTACCCGGAGGGCATCGGCCGCATCATCCTCAACGACAAGACGCGCCTGGTCGACGTCCCGCCGAGCCAGCGCTTCATGAAGTTTGACAAGATCGACTGGCCGCGCGTCTTTTTCAAGACGTACAAGGAGAAGCGCTCCTTCTTCCACCTGCTCGTCAACTTCAACCGCATCTGGATCCTGCACATTTCCGTCTTCTTCTACTACACGGCCTACAACGCGCCCAAGGTCTACACGTCGCTCAACCCGACGCCCGCCCAGGCCTTCTCGGCCGCGGCCCTCGGCGGCGCCGTGTCGACCCTGATCATGATCGCGGCCACCATGGCCGAGTTTTCCTACATTCCCACCACTTGGAACAACACGAGCCACCTGATGCGCCGCATGATCTTCCTCCTGGTCTGCCTCGCCGTCACCGTCGCGCCCGCCGTCTACATCCACGGCTTCAACAACTCCGGCACCATCCCCAACATCATCGCCTACGTCCACATCGCCGTCAGCGGCTGCATCACCGCCCTGTTCTCCATCGTGCCCTCTGGCCGCATGTTTGGCGACCGCGTGGCGGGCAAGGCGCGCAAGTACCTGGCCAACCAGACGTTTACGGCCAGCTACGCGCCGCTCGACAAGAAGCACCGCGCCGTCAGCATGCTGCTGTGGGCGCTCGTGTTTGGCTGCAAGCTCACCGAGAGCTACTTCTTCCTCACCCTCTCGTTCCGTGACCCGCTGGCCGTCATGGTCACCATGAAGGTGCAGGGCTGCAGCGACAAGTACTTTGGCACCGCGCTCTGCTCCAACCAGCCCGCGTTTGCGCTCACCATCATGGTCATCATGGACCTCTCGCTCTTCTTCCTCGACACCTTCCTGGTGAGTGCCGGCCTGCGTCGGCCTGTGGGCCTCTGGCGATCTCGCCCCCCGCTCCGCCGCTTGCGAGACCGACCGCCGCCCTTTTCTCTGCGCGACGCTGACTTTTTCTTTGCACGCTTCCGATGCCCGCCTCATCTCCCGTGTTCACTGCGCTCCTTTCCGACGCCCGCAGTGGTACGTCATCTGGAACACCGTCTTTAGCATTGGCTGGTCGTTTTCGATGGGCCTGTCGATCTGGACGCCCTGGACCGACATCTTCCAGCGCCTGCCGAAGCGCATCTACGCCAAGCTGCTCGCCACCGCCGACATGGAGATCAAGTACAAGCCCAAGGTGCTCGTGTCGCAGGTGTGGAACGCCATCATCATCTCGATGTACCGCGAGCACCTGCTCTCGATCGACCACGTCCAGAAGCTCCTCTACCACCAGGTGCCCGCCGGCGAGAATGGCAAGCGCACCCTCCGCGCCCCCACCTTTTTCATCAGCCAGTCGGACAAGGGCATCAAGCCCGAGTTCTTCCCCAAGGGGTCCGAGGCCGAGCGCCGCATCAGCTTCTTTGCCCAGTCGCTCACCACGGCCGTCCCCGAGCCGCTGCCGATCGACGCCATGCCGACGTTCACCGTGCTGGTGCCGCACTACAGCGAAAAGATCCTCCTCTCGCTGCGCGAGATCATCCGCGAGGAGGACCAGAACACGCGCGTCACGCTGCTCGAGTACCTCAAGCAGCTGCACCCCGTCGAGTGGGACAACTTCGTCAAGGACACCAAGATCCTCGCCGAGGAGAGCCAGGGCTTTGGCGGCAGCTCGCCGTTCGGCGGCGACAGCGACGAAAAGTCGGGCACCAAGGGCTCCGCCAAGACCGACGACCTGCCCTTCTACTGCATCGGTTTCAAGTCTGCGGCGCCCGAGTACACGCTGCGCACGCGCATCTGGTCGTCGCTGCGCGCCCAGACCCTCTACCGCACCGTGTCTGGCTTCATGAACTACAGCAAGGCGATCAAGCTCCTCTACCGAGTCGAGAACCCCGAGGTGGTGCAGCTGTTTGGCGGCAACACCGAGAAGCTGGAGCGCGAGCTGGAGCGCATGTCGCGCCGCAAGTTCAAGTTTGTCATCTCGATGCAGCGCTACTCCAAGTTCAACAAGGAGGAGCACGAGAACGCCGAGTTCCTGCTGCGCGCCTACCCGGACCTCCAGATCGCCTACCTCGACGAGGAGGCGCCGCGCAAGGAGGGCGGCGAGTCGCGCTGGTTCTCGGCCCTCGTCGACGGACACTCGGAGCTGCTTCCCAACGGCAAGCGCAGGCCAAAGTTCCGCGTCGAGCTGCCCGGCAACCCGATCCTCGGCGATGGCAAGTCCGACAACCAGAACCACGCCATCATCTTCCACCGCGGCGAGTACGTGCAGCTCATCGACGCCAACCAGGACAACTACCTCGAGGAGTGCCTCAAGATCCGCAGCGTGCTCGGCGAATTCGAGGCCTTCAACATCCCCAACCAGAACCCCTACGGCAGCGGCCACCAGGAGTTTGCCAAGGCGCCCGTGGCCATCCTCGGCTCTCGCGAGTACATCTTCTCGGAGAACATTGGCATCCTCGGCGACGTTGCCGCCGGCAAGGAGCAGACGTTCGGCACCATGGCCGGCCGTGGCCTGGCGCAGATCGGCGGCAAGTTCCACTACGGCCACCCCGACTTCCTCAGCGCCATCTTTATGACGACGCGCGGCGGCGTCTCCAAGGCGCAGAAGGGCCTCCACCTCAACGAGGACATCTACGCCGGCATGACGGCCTTTGGACGTGGCGGACGGATCAAGCATTGCGAGTACTACCAGTGCGGCAAGGGCCGTGACCTCGGCTTTGGCACCATCCTCAACTTCACCACCAAGCTGGGCAACGGAATGGGCGAGCAGATGCTGTCGCGCGAGTACTACTACCTCGGCACGCAGCTGCCCGTCGACCGCTTCCTCACCTTCTACTACGGCCACCCCGGCTTCCACATCAACAACATCCTCGTCATCCTCTCGGTCCAGCTCTTCATGTTCACGCTCGTCTTCATCGGCACGCTCAACTCGCAGCTGCGCGTGTGCGCCTCGACCAACAGCGAGTACATTGTCGGCACCGGCGGCTGCTACTACCTCAACCCCGTGTTCCTGTGGATCAAGCGCACCGTCATCTCGATCTTCCTCGTCTTCATGATCGCCTTCCTGCCCCTCTTTCTCCAGGAGCTCTCGGAGCGCGGCGCCGTGTCGGCCTTTGTCCGCCTCGCCAAGCACTTCATGAGCCTGAGCCCCATGTTCGAGGTCTTCTCGACGATGATTTACTCGCACTCGATCATCAGCAACCTCACCTTTGGCGGCGCCCGCTACATCGCCACGGGACGAGGCTTCGCCACCACCCGCCAGAGCTTTGCGCTGCTCTACAGCCGCTTCGCCGGCCCCTCGATCTACTCGGGCATGCGCCTGCTGCTGCTGCTCCTCTACATCACCCTCACCCTGTGGATCCCGCACCTGATCTACTTCTGGATCAGCATCGTCTCGCTGTGCATCGCGCCGTTCCTCTTCAACCCGCACCAGTTCTCGATCTCGGACTTTATCATCGACTACCGCGAGTTCCTCCGCTGGATGTCGCGCGGCAACAGCCGCAGCCACGCCAACTCGTGGATCGGCTACTGCCGCCTCAGCCGCACCAAGGTGACGGGCTACAAGAAGAAGCGCCTCGGCCACCCCTCGGAGAAGCTGGCCGGCGACGTGCCCCGCGCCGGCTGGAGGACGATCCTGTGGGCCGAGGTCGTCTTCCCCATCTGCCTCGCCATCATCTTCGTCGTCGCCTACTCGTTCGTCAAGAGCTTCCACACCCGCGGCGACCCTGCCCAGGGCGCCATTGTGCGCATCGCCATCATCGCCCTCGGCCCCATCGTGTGGAACGCCGCCGTGCTGCTGGTCCTCTTCCTCATCAGCATGTTCCTCGGCCCGGCGCTCAACAACTGCTGCGCCAAGTTTGGATCGGTCATGGCCTCGATCGCCCACCTGCTCTCGGTCGTCGGCCTGATTGTGGCCTTCGAGTTCCTCTGGTTCCTCGAGCTGTGGAACACGTCGCACGCCGTCCTCGGCGTCATTGCCGTCATCGCCATCCAGCGCGCCATCTTCAAGATCCTCATCGCGCTGGTGCTGTCGCGCGAGCTCAAGCACGACGAGACCAACCGGGCCTGGTGGACCGGACGCTGGTACGGCCGCGGCCTCGGCGGCCACGCCTTCAGCCAGCCGGCGCGCGAGTTTGTCGTCAAGATCATCGAGATGAGCCTCTTCTCGGCCGACTTCCTCACGGCGCACATTCTCCTGTTTGCGCTGTCGCTGCCGACCTTGATCCCCTTCTTCGACAAGGCGCACTCGACGGCGCTCTTCTGGCTGCGCCCGTCGAAGCAGATCCACGCGCCCATCTTTTCGCTCCGGCAGAGGAAGCAGCGCAGGTCGATCGTGTGGCGCTACTCGCTCCTCTTCATCCTCGCCTACGCCGTCTTCCTCGCGCTCATCGTGCTGCCCGCCATCTTCTCGTCGACGATAGACCTCAACTGCAGCTTCTGCAAGTCGATCTGAGCAGTTGGCCAAGCGCCCGACGCATTCCTCCGCCACGCAAAAAACGCGCGTCCTGCCTTCCTCTGACGCAACGTCGCTCCTTTGCCCTCGTCAGCCGAGGGGGCCCCGTCGCTCGCCATCGCTCTCTCCGAGGTCGACGACGACCCCAGCACTTCCTCTCTCTCTCCTCTCTCAAACTTGTAGCATCGCGATTCCACAACCACAAGCCGCCGCATACCGCGCCGCGACGATTTCGACGGACATCGATCGACCGGCGAGGCGCCCGGCGCCCTAGCATACCGTCGGCTAGCTCGGGGGGATGCGAACGAGCTTAGTCCCCGCACATATCCTCGAACCCCCTGCTCTGCAACGTTCTTTCCACATGCTTGCCCCGCCCTGGGTCGCAGTCGGCGGCCGTCCGGCGGAGCACGCAGCTTCCGGCCCTCCGGCCTTGCTCGAAGCACCGCTCCGCTGGAAGAGGACGACGCGGTCGTCGCGGATGGCTGGCGCTCGAGGGCGGGCGCTACTCGTCGCATGCACGCAAGCAGGCGAGCTCCATCGGCGCCTCCCATCCCGCCTCGCTCTGCCCCATGGATCTCCGTGGCGCCGTGTCTCGCTGCCCTGTCAAATACGCGCACCGTCCCTTGTGTTTTCCGGCTTTCGTCTCGTTCGCCATCGTTTCCCCGCCCATTGTCTCCACTCCCTCCCTCTGCTAGGCTCACCCACCCACCCGCAGTCGCCTCATTCTGTCGCTTCTTGTCGTGCATGCTTACAAACGAATGGACCATCTGACTTTGCAGAAAGCTCGAGCTCGAGGGCCGCCATTGCCTCGTGGCCTGGGTGCCCAGAGATGCATGTGAGCGGTGCTGTGGATGAGGCGAACGAGAATGGCGCAGGCGCTCTCGGGTTGGTTGGGCCCGCCTGCCATTTTCATTTCCCCGCCCACGACGCGTCTGGGCTGACGCGCCCCGGCACCCTGGACCTCCACCACCACCACCACATCCTCTCTCCTCCATCCTCTGAACCACCCGCTTCGTCCAGCTCGGACCCCCCTCGCCACCGCGCCTCGTCTCTCCGCACGCAATCCGACTGCCTACCCCTTCCTTAGCCTGCGCACCTGCCATCATCAGCTCAAAACTGCTCGGGGATCCGCTCCTGCCGCCCAAATGCCACCCAAACTCGACCAGGGCATCTCGGCCTCTCGCGCAGGCTCAGCCCAGAAGCGGCCCCCACAGACCGCCAGAAGGGGCAGGCCGCTCGGTGTACCAAGGCCCGCTGCCGCAAGGCGCAGCAACGCCGCAGACGACTCGAACGCATCCACGGCCACGACAAGGGCGGCGGCGGCGCCGAGAAGAGCCAATGCCAAGGCAAAGGGCAAGCAGAAGGCCCCGGCGCCGTCCGAAGACGAACGCGACTCTTCAAGTCGCGCCGACGACAGCGTCTCCAGCCAGGCCGGTCCAGGTGCAAACGCCGAATGGTGTGTCCCCGACAGTGAGTGAGGCGCTCTCGAGCTGACATCCAGGCCGAGACCCACCGCTTCCACCAAGCGCCGCTGACCGGCAAGCGTTCCTCTGGCCCGCTCTCCGACTGGCAGGGATCCTGCTGGACCGCACGCTGCACCTCTACTCGATCTCGCCGCTGCACTTTTCGGGACTTCCCGGATCCATACGCAAGGTCTCGCCGGCGCTCTTTAGACTGCTGCGAGCCGAGCTCTACCAGTACGTCAACCTGCGCCTCAGCGACGGTCTCGGCTTCCTCGAGGACGCCAACACGCTGTCAAATGCCCGAGACAGCTCCAGCGGCGACCTGATCCCGCCCGCTAGGCGCAGGCGCACCGATCTGGGCAAAGTAGGGCGGGTCCGCATCGACTTTGTCAAGGACGAAGACTTCCTCGACGGCTTCGACGGCAGCAGGCCGGCGTCGGACCTCGAGGATCAATACAGGCCGTGGATCATCGAGATGGAGCTTGGCCTGCCCGTGACACGGGATGGCGTCGGGTCGTCCAGGGCCATGGCGGCCGAGGCGCAGTCGGCAGAGCTGTGCCACATCGTCTTCCTGCCCGGACGATCAGGCTCGGACCCGAACCTCGACTCGCACTCCTACCCCTTGATCCTCACAAAGGCACCCTCGGTGGCTCTGGGAGGCGACCAGCCGCTGGGCACGTCGAGCAACGCGGGACGCCTGATCCTGACGCACGCGCTCGACTGGCTGCAGAAGCGGTTCGACTGCCGGATCTCGCAGGGGAGCGGGGCCATGTCGATTGCCTCGATGCTGCGCGGGCCCTCGCTCGAGGCGCTGGCAGAGGTGGTGGTCAAGCAGACGAGGATGATGAGCGGGGCCAAGAGGGGCAGGATGCGCTCGGCCAAGCAGCAGCAGGTCGACGCCGACGTCAAGCCCGTCGAGATGTCGTTCGCCTTCCCCATCACGATCGACGATCCGAGCGGGCCGGCCAACGGCAGGGCTCCCAGCAAGATGGACGGCCCGGCGCCTGAGCTCGCCACCATCACATTGACGGTCCCTTGGGACCTTTGCATGCAGCTCGTCGACGGGCTATCCGAGGGTGAGTTGCAGTCGTCGCCGTCGTCGCGTTTCAGCCCGCGCGCAAGAATGTCGTCTAAGTGATCACCGACTCAACCTCGATGTCTCTCCCCTGCGTGCACATTCTTTCCGCCGTCAGATCAACCGCTGCTGCCGGCCTTGAATCACTACCTGGCGGCGCATACGTCGATACCGCTGGATCGGCTGGAGCTGGTGCGGATCGGAGTGGCGGGCGTCAATGTGGGGGCCGGGCAAGGTTCGGTGCGCCTCAAGGTGAGCGCCGTACCCTCGGCGGCTGCGCAAAAGGAGGCGGGCGCCAATGCGCAGCAGTCCAAGAAGTCGACGTTGAACGAGGCGGACAGGGCTCGGGCCGGGATCGTGGTCGGGTTCCTGCGAGATCTGGCCGATGGCGGCCGTTGAGCCGCAGTGGCGGTGGCGGTGGGACGGGGTCGTCTATGTGATGGCCCGGGTGGTGGCAGGACACTGGCTGCCCCACCGTGGATCCGCATTGTGCTGTGCTAGATGTTGTCGGGGTCGACGCCGTCGCAAACGAGGGCCAGGCCCAGCGACAACAGACAACGCCTGGGAGGTTGTGTGGGCAGGGCAGTCTTGGCTGTGGGCTGAGGCGGCCGAATGACGGTGGCAGCGGGCGTGAGGTTTGTGTTGCGGGCGGGCGGCCAAAATCGCGCTGCGGCTCGTCAGGGGCTGCCCCGAGACCCCAGCCGGCCCTCCACCACCACCACCATCATCATCACCGTCATCGCCGCTATCGTAGTCTACAACCCATCGAGTACTTGATACCACCTCGACGCTTCCAACAACCACGACGCCGCACCTGGCCTCACGATACAGCGACCCGTCCTCACCACTGCACCCGGCCTGCCCCTCGACCCGTCCACCGCTTCGTCCCGACCACCGACCACCGACACCCACACCCACACCACCCCGACCATGCAGCTCTACGGCCTCCTCATCTTTGCCAACCCCCCCGGCGCGCCCGCCGTACCCCTCACGACGGCCTGGGAGCTCGGGAGCTTCGGCTGGCTGCAGAGGGGAACCGTGCAGGACATGATGGGCTTCATGGCCAAGGTCAGTCGAGCCCGGCACGCCCTCTTTGCGCGGCAACCGCCCCCCATCACTGACATCCGAACTCCAATGTTACTTTGCTCTCATCCTCTTCTCATGGCACCCATTGCAGACGGTCGCCGAGCGCACCAAGCCGACGCAGCGCCAGAGCGTGCAGGAGAACTCGTACGTGGCCCACGTCCACAGCCGACCGGCCTCGGACGGCATCTGCGGCGTCCTCATCTCGGACACCGAGTACCCCGTCCGCGTCGCCTTTTCGCTCCTCAACAAGACGCTCGACGAGTTCGTCATCAAGGTGCAAAAGAGCCAGTGGGAGTCGCGCGTCAACGCCATCACCACCGGCTCGGCCACTGCCCCGCCAAAGGGAGAGGCCGTCCTCGGCATCAGCGCCTTTCCCCAGGCCGCCGACTACATCAAGCGCTACCAGGACCCGAGGCAGGCCGACACCATCATGAAGGTCCAGCAGGAGCTCGACGAGACCAAGATTGTGCTGGTGGGTGGCGGCCGTCGATGCCAGATCCTCGCCGAGGCGCCTTTACCTCGGACGTGTGCAGTGTGCTGACCAGCTGGTCATATCCCTGCCTGCTTGCTTTTCTGTCTTTGTCATGGCAGCACAAGACCATCGACTCGGTGCTGCAGCGTGGAGAGGACCTCGACAAGCTCGTCGAGAAGAGCGGTACGCTGAGCGAGCAGAGCAAGATGTTCTACAAGACGGCAAAGAAGGTGGGTCGCCGTCGCTTGCTTCCTCCTCGCTTGCTTCCTCGTCTGGGCGTCCATTTGAGTTGATGTTCGAGCTGACTCTTGCATATCGCCGGCGCCCTCTCTGGCCGCCTACAAACTCGACCCCCTCCCTGGTGTGATTGCAGCAAAGTGAGTGGGCTGCCGCCGAAGACGGACAAAGGCCGTCGACGTCGCTTGCGAACGAGGCGCTGACCCGGCGACCGTTGTCTTCTTGCGCTTCTGGTCGGTCGGTTTGGCAGATTCCTGCTGTGTTGTCATGTAGACGTCGGGCCTCGTACTGCACGGCGCTGCCGTCGTCGGCGCCCCTCTGTGTGGCGTACCGCCTGGCCGCGCTCCCTCCCATCCGCCCATCCGCGCAAGCCGAGTTTGGCTGCGCACGCATGCTCGAGCTGCTTTGTGCAGCCTTGCCGCCTTGATCGCATGTACATAGCTTTTTGAATACCAAGGACCTGAACTACTACTCGATCCCAGGTGCCCGGTCGAGGGTGGCGAGGTTCGTGCTGAGCTGCGGTGCGAAGGCAGGCAGCCACCGGTGTCAGAGGTCAGGTCAGGTCGGGTCGGGTCAGGGGGCTGCATCAGGCTCGGTCGGGCTTGCGGTCGGGCCATGCGTTGCGCCCATGCACGCCAGGGCCCTGCGAGCCTCTGGCAACTTTTTGCAGCCGCATGGTTGGCCACAGCTCACCCCTCTCTGCCTCAGCACCATCAACCTCTGCCACCACGACCACCACAGCCACAGCAACGACGACGACGACCACCACCATCGCAAGCCGGATAGACCTGCAATCTGCATCGATGGGCAACTAGACTGCCACTGCCACCCCCGCTCGCTCGAGGTCCTCCTTTGCTCGATCTGCTACGCCCCATGACCATCACGGAGCCCGCAGCCAGCTCCGGCTTGGGCGGCGCCAACCATGCCGCGCAGCCGCAACATGGCAGCCCGCAAGCAGCGCAAGAGCCCTCTGGCCATCTCCAACGACCCGCATGGTCGGAGCGCAGCGCCTACCGCGACGAGCAGGACTCCCAGTCCGAAGGCGACGGCGCCGAGGACCAGGAGCAGCCGCTGCTCGAGCATGACCAGCTTGCCTCCAGCTTGAAGGGTGCCGCTCCCTCGACGCTCAACGGCAGGAGGAAGCCGCTCAAGTGGAGCGAGGTGCTTTGGTGCGTGTCCCGCCGCCCCCTACCTCTTGTCATGGCGACGAACACCTGCTGGTCATCGTCTTCGGCCAGCTGACCCATCCCTTCCCCCCGCCCCGACACTGCACCACCACACCGCTTCTCTCCACGCTCGCCCAGGGTGACGGGCACCCTGCTCCTGATCTGCTTTCTGGTCTACACTTCACAGCTCTTCATCATCCTACCCTACTACCGCAACACGGTCACCTTCACCCTGCGTCAGCTCCTGGCGCTGCTCGTCCCCTTCAACCTCTGCTCGCTGGCCATCTTCTACAACTACTACCTCTGCGTCGTGACCAACCCGGGCGACGTGCCCTCGGGGTGGCAGCCTGACTGGACCGCGCTCGACCCGGCTCCCCAGGGGCAGATTGGCGACGGACGGGCCGGCAGCGCCGCGACGATGGAGCTCAAGAGCTACATCCACCGGCCGCGGTACTGCAAGGGCTGCCGGGCGTTTAAGCCGCCGCGCTCGCACCACTGCAAGACGTGCGGCAAGTGCGTGCTGCGCATGGATCACCACTGCCCCTGGGTGGCCAACTGCGTCGGCTTCCACAACCACGGCCACTTTATCCGCTTCCTCGCCGCCGTCGACGTCACCTGCACCTTCCACCTGGTCATGCTCTCGATGCGCGTCCTGGACCGCTGGAACCGCTTCGGCTACTGGCGCGAGCCGACGACGCGCGAGATGCTCTGCCTCGTCGCCAACTACGCCCTCTGCATCCCCGTCCTCCTCATGGTGGGCATGTTTTCCGCCTACCACTTCTACTGCATCGCCATCAACCAGACGACAATCGAGAGCTGGGAAAAGGACAAGGTCGCCACCCTGATCCGCCGCGGCAAGATCCGCAAGGTGCGCTACCCCTACAGCGTCTCGCTGCTCGCCAACGTCAAGTCGGTGCTGGGCCCGTCGCCGCTGCTGTGGTGCCTGCCGCAGAGGATGCGCGGCGACGGCCTCGTCTACGACGTGGCAGAGGGCATCGGTGAGTGTCGACTTGGCTCGCACCGTCGCGGATGCGGACAGCGCAGCGGTGCCGAGAGCGAGAGCGATGGTGGGCGGGATGGGGAAGAGGGAGTCGAGCTGGGCTGCATCAACCCAGAGGTCGAGGCCATCGCCATGGCCCGGCTGAGGCACTTGAGGTGGCAGGCTCAACGGACGTTGCCCGGGTGACAACCGCCAGCACTTTGCGCCGTAGCTTTACCACTGCCGCCCGCAACCGGCCCCAAGGGAAGGAGAGGGAAGGCGAGGGAGGGAGGGGCGAGACCCGTGAGTGTCCCCGTCTCTCCGCCTACTCAACCCTCCCTCCCCGATCCTCGTCTATCTGTTTCTGATATTGCTGCGTGGCGTTCCCTTTGACACCGGTGTCCAATTGTCGATGCTGACGCCTCCGTGCACCTGCTCCCACCATGCGTCGCCAGACCCGGGCGCGCAATACCGCTGGCCGCCGCGGGACCCAAGCCGCCTCGCCCCCTCGTCGCGCGCACCGCCGCTCTTCCCCAGCTTCCGAAGCGAACGCACCAACGACGTCCACGTCGACGACGGCGGGGCGTCGCGAGGCGCAGGCTCGCCATGGACGTACGGCAACGGCTTCAACCCTTCCCTCGTCCCGTCCAACTCGGCGCTGCGGTACCGTGGCGCGTCGTCGGTGCAAGTTTCGTCGCGCTATCCCGGCGAAGCGGACGAGGGCGAGGGTGAAGACGAAGAGTCGTCGATTTCGTCGGGATCCGATGACGACGACGACGACGACGACGACGCGGTGGGGTACCGCCGTCGTGCTGCGGCTGGGGGCAGGGGAGGGTGGAGCCAAGACCTTGCTTCCTGGCACGATGACGATGACGACGAAGAAGGGGAGGAGGTGGTGGGAGGGCAAGGGGCGGGGGGAAGGGTGAGGGTGAGGAGGGGAAGTGAGGGGTACGAGGTGCGACCCTCGGTCTCTAGGTGGGTCGTCGATGACGATCCACCTTCGTCTGACGAGGCGTCGCCCGTTCTGATCGCGCAGGGGCAGGAGCAGCGACAAGGTCGGTACAATGTCGCCCTGCCCTCGCAAGTACTGCGGGATCGACGCGGGTAGAAGGGGGGCCAGACCGTCGAGGCTAGCAAGTGGTGGTGGTGGTGCCCTTGGACCTCGCCTCCCGACTGACAAAGCATAGACTCAGATCGAGGTGCAACACGCGCGCACACAACCAACAGAACAGATATTGCTGCCGCCACTGGAGCGCGCGCTGAGCGGGAAAACGGTGGATGCGTTGATATTTTGTTGTTCGAAGGGCAAAGAGAGAGAGGCGGGCAAGAGTGAATCGCGCGGGGCGCGAGGGGATGCATACAAATACGAGAGAGAGAAAGAGGTGGGGAGGGAAGTTGGGGGGGTGACATGGTGGTGTTTGCCGTCATCGCCTTCGACCCTTCGAACAGGGGTTGAGGGGGGAGGAGAGAGAGAGAGAGAAAAGACTCGTGACCGTCGTATCCAGGGCTGCCAGGCCGCCGCATGGGCGCCCACACGCCCTCGGCGTCATTCGTTGTCCCTTCGACAGCGGTGTGGCGGGCCTCGCGACGCCGCCGCCGCCGCCCCGACGAGACTGGGCGCGGATCCACCGTTTTCCTGTGCCTTTTTCTTGGGTGTATGCTGGTTGCGTGTGTGTTTGTGTGCGTGTGGGTGCGTGGTGTGCGCACCGCGGCGGCGACGACGTCGCCGGTGGCAAAAGAGAAAGGCTAGAATGACGCCACAGGAGGCTCTCCCCCCACCGCCTCCTCCTCCTCCTCCTCCTGTCCTTCTGTTCGTCTCACAGGTTCACGTCATCTCGGCCATCTTGCACAGCCTCCGCGCTCAGAGAGCAGACGGCGGCGGCGTGTTGGGACGACACAAGACGCTTATGCCTTCCTGCGGAAGGAGCAGCCTGCAGTGCCAAAAGCAGCAGGATGGGTGTCGAGACAAGGTCAGACTTTCGTTTGCTGAGATGTCACAGCAGCAGGGCGCACGCGATGCGGCTTCGGAACGTCCCGACACTTACCCTCGGTGAGGCGGGCCTTACCACCAGTGGGCTGGCTGAGGACCTGGGCGCAGCTGCCGCAGACAACGACGGTCTGGGCGTGCGAGAAGACGGTGGTGATGGCGAAGCAGCCGGGGCACTTGACGTCCATGAAGAACGAGTTGGGGTTCTGCACAAGCCTCTTGAGCTTGTGGCAGCGAGCCTGGTGCTCGGGGGTGGGGTTGAGAAGGTCGATGGCGAGAGTCTGAACGAGGTACGAAACAGGGCGCGGAAGGTCAGAGCGAGGTTAGCTATCATTCCTATCACACGCGGCAAGACTGTCGCAGCCGATGGCGTCGTCTCCGGCGAAGGCGAGCAGACGGCACAAACGACAGCGAGCAGCAGCGACAGCAGACAGCAGCAGCAGCATCGATCGGAGTGGCGGGAAAGGCAAGGGATGGCGGATGTGTCGCGAGGTCGGTGTAGAGTGGCTCAAGAGCCGACGGTCGATGTGAAGTGGCGGCCAGGGCGATGTGCAAGGTTGACCGTGGCCCGAGGGCTCATACCAGTTGCGAGTGACGGTGGTCTGCCGCAAGCTGAGAGGCCGTGGGCAAGGATCGTGGGTGTCTTCGCGAAGAAACCAAAGAACCCGACGGCTCCAGGCAGTGGGTGGCGTCACGACTCGAGTGGCAACTGCCAATGGCAATCATCCTCTCTTCGCCCGCATTCCGCCAGGATGTCGCTGGCGATCTGATCGTTGTCGGTGGGTGGCTGCTCGACATGAGCCAATCAAGGTGTCAAGTCGTACGACCAGAGGGTGGCAAATCCGAGCCGCTATGCCACATGAGGCAGACTTCGAGCCGAGAGCAATCGATCGGTGCATGCTCTTTCTCGTCGCTGTCGATGCTCATGGCGATGTAGAGCGTCTGAGCCCAAAATGGGTGGCGGTTGTCGGACCGTACGTGGCGCCATACGAGATGCTGTAGTCGGTGCTGCAACTGTTGCTATCGCTGCTGCTGCTGCTGCTGATCGTCTGATGCTGCTGCTCCGCGATGCCGTCTGTCGACTTCGCCGTGTTCGCCATCGGTGCCGTCGGCGCGGGCGGTGTCGTGCGGCGTCCGAGGCTCACCATTTTGTGTGTGTATGAAGAGGGATGATCGTATCGAGCGAGATGATGATGGGGGGCGGAGGCGGGCTGTAGAGGTTCGGTCTGCGGTGGCGTGCGCGGCCCTGTCCTGGCCTGGTCTCCTGCCCTCACCCGCCTGCTCGCGAGATCAGGCTGAGGCTGCTGGCCCCACGGCCCAGGCTGCCTTGGGGCCAAGCCAGCGAGCGGGCCCGCCTCTCGGCTGGCGCGCAAAGAGGGTTTCGATTTTTCGGCTGACTGCGCAGTCGTCTGCCTGGGCCAGGTCAGGATCACGTGCGTTGCTCAGCGAGCCCAGGGCAGCGTGGAGCGTGGGAATTCTTTCCCATGAGCCTGGCCCTGAGCGAAAATTTGTGCGGCCCCCTCGCTCGTTTGCGCGCACCCGAAAAATTGGGCCAAGCGAGCCAGCCAGCCTGGCTGTGAGGTCAGCGCAGAGCAGCCTGGCTCATCCGGGCCCAGCCAGTCAGCCAGACGAGCCTGAGGCCAGAGGCCAGGCGGGCCCGGCCCAGGCCCTGTCAGGCTCGAGGCCCAGCCAGGCCAAGGCAGAGAGCGTTGGCTGATGGCTTGGAGCCAAGGCGAGCGCTGGCTGGCGGCAGAGGCAGCAGGGGCAGCGAGGGGATCGAGCGAGGGCCTGGGGAGGCCAGCGCCAGGCCAAGCCCATCGTTGTCCGCCAACCTCGCTCCTCGCTACCCCCACCCTCCCCCTCAAGCCGCACCCTACACAACGTAAGTGTCGAACACGGCCTGATCGCCACCGCCATCGCCATCGCCATCACCATCACCGCCACATCCGACACCAGCATCGCACCCGAACGACGCCCGACCACCGCCGCCACGAAAGTCAGTAAAAGAGGCGTCTGCCGAAGCGCCACTGGATATGGACGACGGCTGCCCTTGACGGCGAAGAGGAGCGGGCTCGTTCAGTCAGATTTTTTAGGACGAACCCGGGAGCTCCTAGGCGACGCTGTGCTCCAAGGTTGACGAGGGTCTACCGGCATCAGTCGATGCTGGCATATGGATGAAGGGAATCGCAGCCAGCTCGGTGCGGCAGCCAGGCTGGCCAACGTGGGCATGTCACCGAAGCGCCGTTAGCCAGACTCTGGGGAGGTCTCGCCCTTGTTGAGGGCATAGTCCTGAACAGCAGGGCACGAAACCGACCACCGCCGACGCCCGACTTTGCGACACATCAGTCCGACCTTCCGTCCCGGATGCTCCTGCTTCCACTTCACACCCCCAAACACGGCGGCTGAACTCCCCGGTCCGTTTCTTCTCTCTGCCTCTTTCCACCCCATCGCCCACCTGCAGACATCAAGATGGTCAACCTCCGATCCCAGAAGCGCCTCGCCGCCTCGGTCCTCAAGTGCGGTCAGCGCAAGGTCTGGCTCGACCCCGCTGAGCAGAACGACATTGCCAACGCCAACTCGCGCGCCAACGTCCGCAAGCTGATCAAGGATGGTCAGATCATCCGCAAGCCCGTCGTCGGTGGCTCGCGCGCCCGCACTCGCGAGCTCCTCGCCGCCAAGCGCGTCGGTCGCCACACCGGCACCGGTAAGCGCAAGGGTACCGCCGAGGCCCGCATGCCCACCAAGGTCATGTGGATGAGGCGCCAGCGTGTCCTCCGCCGCCTTCTCAGGAAGTACCGCGAGTCGGGCAAGATCGACAAGCACCTGTGAGTGTCCGATGATGGCGATCGCCGTAGTGGCTGGGAGTACAGAGGAAACGAACGAAACGAACGACACGCACTCGAGAGAGAGGACGGGGAGGGAGAAGGAGATCTGCGAGCTGCATCGCTGTTCGAGCCGGCGCTGACGAATAGTGCCCCCGCCCGTCAAACTCGCCCCTCTTGCTCTCCTGCAGCTACCACGAGCTCTACCTGAAGTCGAAGGGTAACGTCTTCAAGAACAAGCGTGTCCTCATGGAGCACATCCACAAGGCCAAGGCTGAGAAGGCGCGATCCAAGCACCTCGCCGACCAGATGGAGGCCCGCCGCCAGCGCAACAAGAACCTCCGGGAGCGCCGCGCCGTCAGGATCCAGGAGAAGCGCGCTGCCATCATCGCCGTCGAGAACGAGGCCGAGGAGAAGAAGTAAACGGGTCGAGGGCTCCACCCTTGTCCCGCTGCTCTCTTTCCCCGTTGCATCCCCCACCCTTGCTCTCTGTTTCGACATCTTGGCCCTCACGCTCTCTCTTCTCTCGTTGGCATCAACCATTGTTTCAATACTCGCACCGACAACAATGCAACACGACGCACTCTGCCCAGCCACCCGAGGCCCGGTTCGAGTCGCACCCGCCCTCTTCTCCCACCCCACACCACACCACATCACACACACCCAACACCCACAGCACGCTCCGTCACCGGCACGGACACAAAACGAGGCGAGACGGGAAGGGAGGACGTTGGTTCCCCTGCCCGCTTCGTCTCGGACGCTCCCCCCCTTTTGTTTCGGCCAGCTGCAGAGGCAGTTGGGCGGGGGCAAACCTCCCGACCGCGCCCTCCTGCGACGCCTCGCCGACGGTCTCTGGCCAGCAGGACGACGGAATGCCCTCTTTGGTGGCAAAAGGGCAGCGGAAGGGAGGCATGCAGTGCGGCACCACGGGCACGGGAGGACGAGGAGGCACGAGATCGTCGTCGACCCAGTCCCCTCCTCCCCTCTCTTCTTTCTATCGCAGAGGGCCAGCCGCCCTCTCGCCGAGCCTCCTATGACTGCTATGCCTCTGTCGTCGTCCCCCCGTCGGCGAGACGCTGCGCCTGGTCCTTCCGTCGCCCCCCTGTACGCATATGATAACCTCAAAACACTGAAAAAGAGCCACTTCAGATCCGCACAAACGTCGCTCGACGCCGAGAGGGGGGGTATGGTACCGCGCTTCCTCGCCTGGCACGCCAGCATCGGGACCGGGACCGTCACTTGGGGGCTTGACAACGCCCGACGGTGTCATCAGAGAGAAGGATCCCGTACGCTAAGCTAGACTCGGCGGATGGTGCCCGTACATCTCGAGGTTGGCTCACGTCCATACACAGAGAAGTAGCAGCAGCCCGGCGCTCGTCTTGCGAGTCGCGCAGCCAGGCAACCCCGGGCAAGCTGGGCCGCGAGGGTCACATGCATGGGGCACGCAGGCAAGGGGCTGGCCATCGGTACGGCCATGAGCGGCGATGGAAGCTTCGGCCCGGACTTTGCTGGCGGGAGCAGTCTCGAGTACGTGTGTGTGGAGAAAAGAAGGCCAAGCGGGTCGTTGACAGCGCTCCTCCGACCAGGTCCACCCACGGGTCCATGGTACAAAAGAGATAGAGAGAGTATCAAGGCGGAAGTGAGAAGTGGCCAGCAAGCCCCCGTCGGACCCTACTCTGCTCGCCGCCTTGCCCGTCTTCTTGGCCGTCGACCACCAACTCCAGCTCGAGCAGAATCGACAGTCGAGCCTCAGCCTTGCTCCCCGATCCCGAGCTTGCGGTCGCTCGCCATCCCACACCGCCGCCCACCATGCCGCTCGACTACCTCCGCAAAGTCGACAACCAGTCGCCCCAGCCCGAGGCCGTGGCCGCGAGACCCCCTGCCCAGACGAGCCCGGCTCGCGCTGGCGGCATATCGGCCTTCAAGGCCGTCTCGATTGCACTCGTGGTACGTGCCATCCCCATCATCGCCCCGTGCGATCCTCGTCTTGAGCTCGCAGCCGGACCCTCGAGCTGATCGACTGCCGTACCTCGAACCTCGTACGTCTTGCCCTTGTCGACGACCGCGTCCACAGTCCATTGTCGTGCTGCCCGCCATCATCTACCTCCCCTGGATCCTCGCCCTGCTGAGGCCCACGAGCAACCTGCCAGACTTCTGGGTGCGACCCTCAATCAAGCTGCCGCACGCCGCGGCGGGTGCAGAGGCGGTCGATGTCGAGCAGCTGGGCGAGCCGACCTGCCTCAATGCCCACGCCACGGCCGTGGACCCCTACCACCGCTCCCCGCCCTACCACGAGTGGGACCGCAAGGTGCAGGCCACGCAGTTTTGCGAGGATGCCGAGATCGTCCACACGCACGGCATCGTCGTCGTCTCTTGCGACCCGGGACGGGCCGAGTGGAACACGGTCATGGGCCCGCTCAAGAAGTGAGTTCGCAGCGCGCGCGTGCTGCCCTGTGCATGGATCGCGCCGCACGGGGGAGGGGCCCAACAGCTGACACTACAGTACTATGTACTGTCTTCTTCGGCGTGCTGCCTACTCGCTTGGCCTTCGTCATGCTCACAGCGTCAAGCCCCGCGGTGCGCTGTGGGTCTACGACTTCGCCAACGTCGACGGCAGTGCCTCCGCCCCTCCTCCAGCAGATGCGCTCGAGATCGTGCATCTGGTGGGCTTCCCGGACCGCCTCGACTTTCACCCGCTCGGCATCTCAATCCTCGAAGAAGACGGCACCGCCAAGGCCGCAGGCGCAGGCAAGGCAGCATCGCCGCCGCTGCGCCTCTTTGTCGTCAACCACCAGCGGCTGCGGAGCACGGTCGAGGTGTTCGACCTCGAAAAGGAGCCGCGCGGCTGGGTCGCGACCTATGTCCGATCGATCGTCGATCCCGTCGCGACGCACACGCCAAACTCGGTGCAGGCGCTCAGCCGCGACTCGTTCCTCGTGACCCAGGACCACTTCTTTGCCCGTCGCGCTGCGCCCGCGGACCAGCTCGCCCTGACGTACGCCCAGGCTCTGCCGCTCCCCGCCTTGGCCTCGCGCCTCGTCGCGCCGCTGCTGGCCAGCATCGCCTCGCCCCGCTCCGTCTCCGCCCTGCTCGCGCCTATTGAGACGTTCCTCGGCCTGCCGCTGTCGTGGGTGGCACACGTCGAGTTTGACGCGGGCCAGGGCAGGATCGATGGTGTCGCTGCGCCGGACCCCGACGATGTGGCCGCACTGGTGCAGCAGGAGCGTTCCGACGCCGAGACGGCATCGCAGGGCGTCTCGTCGAGCATCATCGCCGATCGCATCCCGTTCGCCAACGGCCTCGCCCTCAGCCCAAAGCGATCGACCATGGTCGTCGCCTCTTCGACGCACCCGGGCGTCTTTCTGTACGACCTGGGACCGCCGCCGCCTCCACCTCCGTCGTCTCTCGCGCCCAAGCAGGCCAAGAAGCCATTCAAGAGCGGCAGAACGGCGAACATCAAGCCAAAGATGAACTGGACCAGGCGCGACCACGTCCGGTTGAGGGAAAAGGTGCACGCTCCGTACGTCGTCGACAATCTGTCGTTTGGACCCGTCGAGGCAGCATCCTCGTCGTCGTCGTCGTCGTCGTCGTCCCTCCTTAGCGGCGCCGTGCCGGGCGAGGGGGATGGGGAGGGAGGGGCCAAGAAGACGAGCGGTGCAAGTGCACCGCCGCGCGATCCGTTCGATGGGGCCGCGCTGATCCTGGCGGGTCATCCGGATGCGTTTGCCCTCATGCGCCTGGCCAAGGTGGCGGGCGACGCGCTGCGCGGGGGGCGTGCGCTCGCGCCGTCGTGGGCGGTCGCGATGCGGCCGTCGCAGTCGTACTTCCTGGGCCAGGACAAGTACCACCTCTCGTCGCTCATGACCAACCTCGAGCACGATCGCGACGCACCCGTCGCCGCCAACCGGCGCGTGCTCACCCACGATCCGCACTGGCGCCTCGTCTCGCTCCTGCAGAGCAGCGGAGAGTATGTCGACTTCTCCGAGTCGAGCACGGGCGCACGCGGCGACGAGGATACAGCACCGCCCACATCGACGACGGCGACGACGATAACCGTGGGCCTGAAGAGTTCCACCACGGCCGTGTGGAACCGTGGCTTTCTCCTCGTCACCGGCCTCTACGCCAAGGAAATTCTCGTCTGCACCAACGTGGCGAGGGAGATCGTCGCCTCCTAGTCCCCCATCCTCGAGTCTACCCCTACCCCGCGCCCCTCGTTCGCGCCGCCCGCCGTGGTCTCGGTCGATCTCATCCTGCGCGGCCGTCCCCTCTTCCCGGCGGCAAAAGCGGCAACCGAATGCATTGCAACCAGAACCAAAGCCATAGCAAAGCCAGCAAAGCCAGCAAGGCAAGGAGCACGACTGCGAAGCGGATCGGCAGGCGCACAGAGGTATCCGCTAGTTTCAAAAGTAGAGGAGAAGGCAAAGAAGTACAACACAACCCGAGGAAGAAAGAGGAACGAAGGGGGGAACGGGGCGATCTCGACGCGGTCCGACACCTTGCAAAGGGCGGAGCTCTTCGCGGCGCAGCGATAGAGGGCGGGAGGGGAAACGACAGACTGGAGCAGCAAGAGACGGAGTGCGGAAGCGGGCGGGCGGGCGAGCGAGCGAGCCGGAAAAAGAGGGGAGGCAGCGCGGAAAGCGAAAGAGGGTGGACTGGGCCATGCCGCCCTGGAGTGGCCTGGTCTGACAGACCAAGGGGGCCAGCGGATGGGGACAAACCGTTGCTCGGAGACGTCAAAGGAAAGGCTCAGAAGGGATGCATCGAAGAGGGGCAAGGGAGAAGCGGAGGCGTGCGCGCAGCCCCGCCTCAGAGGAAGGCAACGAGTGCGACGGCAGCGGCAGCGGCGGCGGTGACCGTCATGCCGGCGACCTGACCGCGGGTGGCGCCGTCGAGGGCCGAGACGCCGGCAATCTTCTTGAGGCTGGTGACGGCGGGCCTTCCGCAGGTGTTGACGTAGGCCTGGAAGATGGAGCTCTGGACCTTGAGCTTGTCCGAGTTCTGCAGGCCAATGCCGTAGGGGATGGCCGTCTCAAACTCGATGTAGGCGGCCAGGATGTTCTGCGAGCAGTCCGAGCAGAGGATCGACTTGGGCGTCTTTTCGCTGAGGTAGAGGAAGGCGGTGTTGGTGTTGGTGATCGAGGCGGCGGCCGTCTCCTCGGCGACGCTGTCGGCGAGGTCGTCGATCTGGGCGTTGGACGACTGGCGGCGCTCGAGGGGCAGCAGGCCGGAGTCGGCGTCGGCGACGAGGGAGCGCTTCGAGACGATGCTGGTCGACGAGGCGGCCTTGGCAATCGTCTTGAGGCAGTAGCCGCCCGTCGAGTCGGTCGAGCAGATGGCGTTGCGGAGCGGTGTGATCATGTAGAGGTTGTCGTAGTAGTCTCCGATCTTGGGTTTCCGCTGCTGAATGTCCGAGTGGCAGCTCTGCCAGAACGAGTCGAGGTAGGAGCGGATGAGGTCGGCGTCGCAGCTGTTGGCGCCGCAGAGGTTGATGAGGGTCGAGTCGATCTCGGCGGCCGTGTTGGTGTTGCTGGTGTTTGTCGCGGCGGCCGAGTAGGCCTTTGTGGCGGCGACGAGGGGGCCGGTGCAGGCCGAGATCTTGGTGTCGGTGTTGAGGCCGGCAAGGAAGGTGCGGCACGAGTCAGAGAGGTCGGTGGGGATGGCCGAGGCGGCGCTGGCGCTGCTCGTCGAGGCGGCGTCCTGGGCCGAGACGAGGCCGGCGCCAAGGAGCGCGATGGCACCGACAGTCGAGTAGAACTTCATCGTGGTAGGTGCAGAGGAAGAGAGGGAAAAGGTGCAGGTGTCGTTGGCGGTTGATGATTCACCGGTGGGTGAAAGAGAGGTGCGCTTCGGAGGCGAGATCGGTAAGGCGGCTGTAGGCTGTGCTGTACCAGACAGGGCAGACGACTAGGCGCGTAGGGTTGCGAAGGGGTCGTGTAGACTGGCGACGGTGGTCGGAGTGGAACGAGTGTGTACTCAAGGGAGAGAGTGAGACAAGGCTGCGAGGGAGTGTGCGTGGGCGCGTGGAGGGGAGAGGTTGAGGGGAGAGGAGGATAGAGGAGGGAAGGGAGGGGAGCCGTCAGGAGGCGTGGTGGCTTTGGTATCGAAAGGGTGATGGTAGGGATGGTGGTGGTGGTGGTGGTGGTGATGGCGGCGAGGGCGGAATGGCCTGGCGGCCGGCGAGCGGCGGCGTCGGCGGCAACGGGCCTGACGCCGACCTCGGAGGCGAGTTGCAAACAGCCCGCGCCTCAGCCTGGCACACGGCGGGGGACAAGCAAGGACGAGGTCGAGGCCGAGGCACCAGCGGCAGCCGCGAGGGGCAAAGAGCAGCGCGGGCGCGCAAATTCGACAGGCGCCTGCTTGCCCTCTGCTGGCCCCCTGCCCGCAGCCCGCCCCTTCCAAACTCGGCTTGCAGGCGGGCTCAGATGCCTGCCGCCTGCCTGCCCCCCGTCGATCCTTGCTGGCGCGCCAAGCCTGCCCCACCTGTGCCTGGTGCGCCTGCCTGCCTGCCTGCCTGCCTGTACCCCGCCCGCAGCGTGTGTACGTCGAGATTCGGTGCCGCGCCCGCACTATCCCCCGCACAGACAACAGACGCCACCGCGATAGATGGGAACCACACGAGCCGGCCTCACAGACTGAGAATCGCCGTCATTCAGATTGCTGCCCAGTCTAGGCTCAAAGGGCGAGTATAAGGAGGGCCACAAGCTAAGGTGTGTCGCAGCCCTCGCATCCGCGCGTGGTCAGGCTGCAACAGCGCGGCGTACGCGCACCAGCTCCTGGCCAAACGGACCGCCGTCTCGAGGGCCCGGTTAGCGTCCGTTGATTCGCAGGAGCAGTAGCGCGTAACGGAGCGCTTTCGGGCAGGCTCGAGCCTGCACCACGAGTCGACGTCAAGGCGGGGCTCTGGTGGTCGTCGAACTCAGCAATCCGAAGGACACCGGAGTGCCCGCCACAGCGCAGCGCGCAGAGGCCGGCCTGCCTACATGGGCTCAGGGGACAGGTGAGGGCGACCCGCTTCGGCCTCCGTCGCGGCCAGCAAGGGGATTGCCCCGGGGTGGCGGGCGGCCTGTCAGGCTCCTCTCCGTATCCGTCGTGTCGCGTGCCGGCGAAATGCTGGGGAATATGCTCGATGTCTGCTGCTGGAGAGGCTCGACGAGGCCGGGCCGGCGCATGGGGCGCTTGACGTGCCTCATCGTCGTCGGTCTAGGGGGTATGCAGATACGCAGCAGTCGGCTGGGGAGCTTGGCGTAAAGACTGTGGCTGTCGACCGAGAGGAACGGCGCTCTTAGAGGGCCGATCCAGGTTGTTGAGCGCGACGAAAGCTGCTCGAAGACGGTGGGCAAGGTGAAAAAGCTGGCGTAGGATACGAGGTCGCCGGGCGACCGACGGGCCCTTCTTACTTGACGTCCGTCGTGAGCTCCTTTTCGAGGATAAACTTGCCCTCCTTGTACTTTTCCCCAGTCACGTAGGCCTTGTCCTGCCGAGCCAGAAAGGGGAGGGGCGAATTAGGTGCAGGACAGGGCAAAAGTCGTCAGTGTTTGGTCCCGACGGCTGGCCACTCGTCGACCCCGGCGCATGTCCTAGCAGCTGCTGCGACACTCACGTATCTCCACCCCAGGACCGTGTGGCACTTGACGCAGTAGATGTCGCGCACCGTGTGCAGTCCGGTCGTCATGTGCCGGTCATCGGGCTCGCCCAGGTCGATGTTGGTGACCGAGTCAAAGAGGTAGGCGCGGCCGTGCTGCCCGTTGAATGCGCGGCTGATGAGGCTCTCGATGGTGGTGAGGTGCGTCTTGCACGCCTTGCACCCAAAGATGCGGTTCGAGGAGAGGTACTCCTTGTGTGTCATGCCCATCTTGGATGAAGAAGGGACCGGGCGAGGGCGAGGGCGAGGGCGAGGAGGGCAACTGGAGCGGCCGCAGTAAGGTAGCTGCTCGTACGAGGGGGCAAGAGGTCGTCGAGGCAAGGCCCGATGCTAGAGATGTGCAGAGGGGGACGGAGACTGAGGTCAAGATCAAAAAGTCGCGGGGCGCCGGCTCCTCGAGCGAAGCTGCTCGGGATAGATGGCCAGAGCGAGGGCGCCAGCGAGGCCGAATGCGAGGTCAGATGTCGGATCGAGCGTCGTGCGCTGGCTGCCTGAGGGATCGATGCGCTGCTCGAGGCGGAGGAGCCAAAGCACTCGAGCGGCGTAGCGTGGACAGGCGGGGATCAAGGCAGACTGGGAGCGTGAAGATGGGCTGGAGAGCCGCACGCGATGGGAATGGTCAAGGGTTCAGAGTGCAGAAAGGGCTGGAGGGACTGTCCGAGGACGATGAGGATGAAGATGACGGTGGAGGTTCACTGGAGGGAATCTTGATGGTGTGAGGTGGTGAGGCACCGAGGCCCCCGTTCGCCCTTTTAAGGGGTCAGCGGCCGTGGTTGCAGCGTGGCCCGACCACTGGACCCCCTCGCAGCCCCTTTGCGTGCGTGGCCAGGCCTGCCTGGTTGCAGGCAGGACCTGACCCTCGCTGGCTGGCTGGGCCGTTGACGCTCCACACTAATCGACCTCGGCCTCGGCCCGGAGCTGAGCCGTGCACCATCCCGACTCCCGAAGACGGCCGCGACCTTCCTCCCGCCACCTGTCGCTCCCTGCCTCTCTCTCTCGTCTCTCTCTCGACCACCACCGACGCCGCCCCTACGACTCGCGACGACCTCCTTTCTAGACCAACAGATAGACCATCGAGCACTCAGGCTTGGAATCATAGACCCACAAGATGGCACCGCAACAGCAGCCCGACCAGATCAGCGTCCTCTTCTGCTGCCTCGGCAACATCTGCCGCAGCCCCATGGCCGTGAGTGACCTCCTGGCTCGACGTACGCAATCTGCACACCATGGGTGCTCATCATCCCTCTACGCGTACCACATTTGCGTTGCCGCACACGCAGGAAGCGGTATTCGCCGACCTCGTCACAAAGGCAGGGCTCCGCGACAGGTTCGCAAAGATCGACAGCTGCGGCACGGGCGACTACCACGAGGGCGAGGAGCCCGACGAGCGGTGCGTTTGCGGCCTGTTTGTCCTCCGCATCCCTCCCGAAAGGACTGCTCAGCTGAACCCTAACACGCTTCCTCCTTGCTATTCACCCGTCCGGTGCACTCGACCGCAGGACGACGGCGCTGTGCAACCGCAAGAAGATCCCCATCGACTGCCTAGCGCGCGGAGTCAAGCAGGAAGACTTCCACACGTTCGACTACATCCTCGGCATGGAGTGAGTGGCCGGGTCGGAGAACCGACGCTTCTCTCAGACTGGCGCTGATGTACCGGCGCCTGCTGCCCTTCTCTTCCTCTTCTCGTTTAGCGTCAACAACGTACGCAATCTCAAGAACATGGCGCCTCGAGGAGCCAAGGCAACGTGAGTCTGTCGTAGCTGACGGCAGAGCGACTGCTGAACCGTCAGAGTAACGCAGCTCAAATCGTGTTCGCACCGTCTCCCTCGCTCTGCCTCTTCAGAATCAAGATGTTTGGCGACTTGTGAGGCTTCCAGCGGTGAGAAGACGGCTTCGCTCGCTGCCTGCTCGTACTGACCCCTTCCTCCTGCTTAACTCTGTACGGCAGTGACGACGGCAAGCCTATTGCGGATCCGTACTACGTGAGCCGATCAGACGACCCCACAGATTGGTTCGATGTGAAGGCCGAACCACCTGACGCGAGACTCCTTCTCTGCCCTGTCTCGCCCTGCCTCCCCGACTGCGTCTGCGCTGTCCGAAGCAGGGCGGCAAGAATGGCTTCGAGATCACCTACGAGCAGGTGTTGAGGTGCGTGCCCGTTCGCTGGCAGCTTAGAGACATCGTCCAGGCTGTTCGTTGCATCTGACATCTTGCCACCATGGCGTTGCGCCTCCTCTGCGACAGGTACTCGCACGCCTTCCTTCGGGACCTCGGTCTGGGCCAGTCGTCGCAGCTCTAACGATGCTTTTCCCCGTTCAGCGCCGACAGAATGCCTTCGTAGATGTGCCTCGCTAATCGTCATTCCGTCGAATGGATCGTCGATGCGACTGCGACGTCGAGATCGATGTTGGCGGTCGCCGCTACGGAGTTTGGTAAAAGTACATGCGCGTGAAGGGTAGAAGAGGTGGTCTGACCTTCTTGTGTCGGGAAGGAGCGGGGGCGAGGCGACGAGCGCGGAAGGGAGGTCATACGAGTCGGTTGGCGGCGGCCTTCATCCTCTCCTCTGCGGCGACCTTGTCGTTCTCGATCTGCAGGCCCTCGATCCTCTCCCTCTCGAGCCTCGCCTCTCTCTTTGCCAGGCGCTTCTGCCTGAACTCCTCCAACGACGCCTTGACGTCGGTCGCGTTGCGTGGCGGTTTCTGTAGGTGGCCGGTGACCGAGGGTGAGCAGCGGTGAAGATGTCAGCATGCGGTTTGGAAGGATGATGAGAGCGGCAGCAGGAGCGGGAGCGAGACTCACGTAGAGCGATTCTTCGGCCGGCCAGAACTGGTCTCTTAGCTGTTGGGACGCGGACGAGGACACACAGCGGCAGAAGGCGGGGAGGCAGGAACGATGAGCACGTGCCTCGAGCTTCGCTCAGAGATGACTACACAGAGTAGAAAGCTCACCGGGAGTACGTGGCGGTGGTACCATTCCGGATCGCCGTAGTGGACCATGACGGCCAGCGGGAAGAAGAGGTACCTGACCGTCGCCGTCGCCGTCGTAGCCGCAGCGTGCGACCTCGTCAGTGCTCCGAAGCGGCTGCGGAAGCAAAGCTGCGGGCGCGACTCACATGCCAAACTTGAACAGCTCGAGGTTGGGTCCTGCCATCTTGCCTTGCTTGCCTGCTTGCGGTGTCCGGTCTGGATGAGGAGTGATGGCGGTGGACGTGGTCGTGGACGTGGATATCGGTGCAGGAGGGGGTCCGAAGAAAGAGGTGGAGTAGCGGCGGCAGAGCGGGCTGCTTGCCAAGCTCGGGACTCGGCAGCTGACCAAAGCGACACCGCGCTCCTCTCCGCACACGGCCTTGCCCTGCCTCCGTTGCACCATCTTCTCGCCCCCACCACTTGGCGTTCTTCGACAGGCACAATGCGTTCCCCCTCGATCTCGTCTCTGCACTCCGCCTGCACCACTCGCAAGCATCCGATCACGGACCAAGAGACGCTTCCAGGAGGAATCGGGTATTAGACTACAAGTTCCGCTATGCGGGCGAGAAAGGGGAAGAGGGGGGGTGGCCCACGGTCTGCCGTCTTTTCAGGACGAGAGCGGACCAACCGGCGAAATGCTACGGACAAAGGCAATGGACGAATGGATGGCGAGACAACTTCAGGATATATCGGGATCAGCAGCACGGCAAGAGACACTAGTGCTCGGCCACTCTCCGCCGGCTCCAGGTCCCGTTCAGTTGGCGGAAGCCGTGTAGCCGTCCAGGTCGGCGATGGCATCGGCCGGGGGCGATCCGCCCGACGCCTCGCCCCTCGATCCAAACAGGGCGCGCCGTCCCAGGTCCGAGGCGTAGACCTGGCTGACGCTGTGCCCCGCGCCTTGGATCAGGGCGAGAGCGTGGTGCACCTTGCGGCCCCGGAACGCCGCCGTCGACGAGAGGGAGCGGGAGCGGGGGATGTTGGCCTGGCCATTGTCGCCGTGTTTGGGGTCGAGGGTGGGGAAGCGGCCGGGGAAGCCCTGGTAGTCGTCGGCCCGATGTCCGGCGAGGAGGTGGATGTACTTCCAGTAGGCCAGCGACCGGTTGCGCCGCTTGGTGCCGCCGAGGCCGCGCGCCATGCAGAACTGGTCGCCCTCCTCGCCCGACGTGTCGGCCAGCCCCACGACGTACCGCACATCGCGCTCGGCGTACCGCCGGAACAGGCTGGCGGCGTTGCCCGTGTTGAGCGACGCGTAGTTGGCGCTGTAGCCGTTGACGCCGTAGCGGTAGTCGTTCCACGTCGGGCAGCTGGCGACGTCGACGCCCACGGGACGGTCCGGCGTAAAGTAGAGCATCGACGACGGGTCGCCCACGACGTAGCGCACCGACAGGCGATCGGGCGCCGGTTTATCCTTGCCCATGACGGCGTAGCGCTGGAGGAACTGGCCGCCGCCGCCGTGGGCGACGAACGTGATCGTCTTCATGCGCGGGTAGGCGGATCGGTCCGAGAAGCGGTCGAGGAACATGTCGAGGACGGCGAAGCTGCTCACGCCGCTGTTGGGCGGGTGGGTCGATGCCTCGCCGGCCGTCCAGCGATTCGAGTCGCCCCACGCCAAGGCGTCGGAGTCGTACGCGCCGCCGTCGCGCGCCGTCGAGAAGAAGAGGGGCGCCACGCGGATCGAGTTGGCGGCGGCCGACGCGTACCCGCCGGCATCCCGGGCGGCCGTGTAGGCCTTGTTGAGGACGGAAAAGTAGGTGTGGGCGTTGCGGTTGACGCCGTGGATGACGATGAATGCCGACTCGGCGTCTGCCTCGTTGTGCGGCGTCTTGGAGTACCAGGTGAAGATGCGGCCGCCAGAGCCGCCGACGGGCAGGGAGCGGGCGTAGGCGCCGCCCGGTCGCTTGCCCACCGACGACAGGCTGACGTCGCCCGATGTGCCCCGCACGTCGGTGAAGGCGTCGCGGCGGGTCAGGAGCATCCGCGTCGTCCACGGTGCCTCGAACGCGCGGTTGAGCGAGGCGTCGCCGGCGAGGCTTGCGGGCAAGCACGACGCCAGCGTGGCCACCGAGAGGAGCAGCACAAACGCCTGTAGCAGGCGCTTGGACGTGAGCATTCTGGTGGGCGTAGGAGGAGTTCCGAGCGAAGTGTCGAGGTCCGGTCCGGCTGATTAGAGAAGCTGGTCGCAGGCGATGCTCAAGCTCTTATCCCGTGGGTATTCCGAGGACGACGAGAAGGCGAGGCGATGATACCGTCAAGAGAAAGGGGCGGGCGAAAAGGAGCGTTGAAGAAAGGTTTACGACCAAGGAAGGTGGTTGGGCCGGGATGGGCGGCCAGAGGAGCGAACAGAGCGGGGACCAGGGAAGGGGGATGGAGAGAGCGATGGATAGGGGGAAAGAGAGGGGGAGAGGGGTGATGGTAATAGTGAAGAGCGTCGATGATCCGGTAGCGACGAGCAATCTACCGTGAGACAAAGGTCGCCGAGACAGTCTGCTGCACGACCAAGGACGATCGTCAAGGCGGCCGGGTACCAGTACAGCGTACGGTGTGTTCAGTACAGTAGAGAAGCCCTCGACGTGGCAGAGGCGCGGGCGGCAGCGGGGGCAGAGCGGACCATGTCACACACTGTATCTATGCCGATGGCGGCACACTCGACGCGCTGGGCTGGGCGGGAAGGCATGCCGAACGGGTCTGGCGACGGCGAGTAGCTTGCGCGGGGGCCGACTCGCTTCTCGATCCGTCCATACACCTGGGCGGACGAGGACGGCGGGGGAGCGCCTCGAAGAGATGCCGAGGAACGGAGCTAAGGGCCCTGCTGGCTACGTGTGTGTCAATCCTGGCCCCCAGGCCGACGGGCACCTGACGGCGGGCACCACCTAAGCGTTGCCTCCTTTTGCCCTGGGGACCTCGACGGCGCACTCGACTAGTAGCCCCCTCAGCTAAGCGCCTACAGGGCATCCGAGCGCCGACTACGAAGCAAGAATCGCTGACGCACCGCGTCGATCCCTCGGAACGCTGGAGCTCGCCTGGCGGGCAAGGACGGCGCGCGAGTGGCCTGCCTCGGCGTTGGTAGTGTAAACGTATGCACGCACGGTGTCACCCATCACGGGCGGCGGCTGAGAGCCCGGCAGAGGCAGAGAGAACCAGCAGGACGTCGATGCCGAATCTGGTGACAAGAGGAGGGTCTGCTCTCTGGCGTGCCGTAGCGCCGTTTCTCGACAGGCGGCTGAGGGGCAGGAGGATTTGCGGGGAATTTTGCAGCAGCGGAGGCGGCGGAGCAGAGGTCCGGAATGCTGGTTCGGCATCGCCTGGCTCCCTCCCTCCCTCTGCCTAGCCTGCCCCTTTGCGACCTGGCTGGCCGGCTGCATCGCAGCTTTGCCTCTGCCTGCCCACTCCTCTCCTCGACATCGGAGGCAAGCGTAGCCACCCGAATCCGCCCAGCTGAATTCGTCTTCCGCCGTACAAAGCGACCAAGCATCCAAAGACGCAGCTTGGCGCCCAGCCCAGTTCGGGATTTCGGGCTCAGACTCGGTCAGAGGCCGAGGGGCATGGATATGCCTGCCTCGCGCCTGGCCTGGCCTGGCCTGGCTTGGCCCCCCTCTGCTTCCACGTCGCCGCCCTTGCGCAGCCAAGAGTCGTGGCGCGCCAAGAAGCAAAGACGAGGATCTCCCAGGATCGCCGTCCCGATGCACCGACCACACCGGCGTTTGTATGTACAGTACTCGGACCACGCCGAACGCGCGGCAGCGTCGACGATGCGGTCGTGTGCTCGGTCGGCCCGGCACGCAGCTTCCACAGCGAGGAATGCGGCGCGCGCCTCGCGCTCGACGCGACGCTGCTGCTACCGCCTGCCTCTTTGATCCGTCCTTTCGCCTGGCCACGTTTTGCGATGCTCACCAGGCATTCGGGACCGCCTCTAGCCGTCTCAAGAGGGAGCACAATTAAGAATCGTGAGAGCTTACGGTACGCCTTCCGCCTGGCCAGGCCCCCGGCCAAGCAGGCTGACCTGCCTCAACGGGACGCGCCCCTTGCATCTGGACGGCCAGGCCAGGCCAGGTCACAGGTCACCCTCTTCCAACCCTGCCGAGGCTGCGCTCTTGACTCCAGCCCGGGCTCATCAGCCAGAGCGCTTGCCTGTCCGTCAAAGCAAATGGCTGACGGTGCTCGCACTCTGCGATACACAGAGAATAGGGCCGAGTCCTTGCCTGAACCACTTCGGTGCGTGCCGAAAGCCCCACTTCGCGGCTTTTTCACGTCGATTTTTCAAAGGCTTTTCTACCCCCTCCCCGTCCAGCCGCGATCTGGGGGCGGCCAGGCGTGGCAGAGGCCAGCTTCGAGTAGGGGCGCACGTCAGGACTCGTCCGGGCATCTGCTCGTCGGTCCCGTCGCAGCACCATCTCGAGCCAGCACATTGGCCCTCACGGCGATCCGTGGTCAAGTCCTTCTGTGAGTGCCCGAACCTGGCCGTGGAAGAGCTCAAAATGTGGACCGGTCCCCCTCGCCTGCTCGTCTGAGGAGAGCACCAGGCTGCAGCCGTCCGGGGTACTGCAGAACCGAAAAGCGGGTCAACGCCCGTGAAGATATTTTGCAGATTGCACGAGGGTAGCAGCGGTGCGTCTCGGCGTTGTACCGATCTCGCCGGCATGGTCTTGTCCTACAACGGCGACTCTGTCTACCTGCCGCACGATCCGCCTACCAGCCCTTCCACGGCTTCCACACATCGACGACCGTCTCGCCCCCCTGGTCCGAGTCGATGATGTAGTAGTAAAAGTGGTTGGCGGCGGCGAGGCAGGCGTGCTGGGGCAGGATGCGGATGCGGTCGCCGACGAGGAGCGGGCGCGGCTCGACAAAGCCGTCGGCGCCGCGCCAGGTCCACATCGACGTCCAGTCGTCCTTTGTGCCAGGGCGGACCTCGAGGATGCCGTGCTCCTGGCTCGGCCGGGAGAGCATCCACCCGATCTGGTGGCGCGGCCAGACGACGTGGCCGTACCCGGGCCACGGTCCTTGGTCCTTGGACATGGCGATGCCCCCGGCGTCGCACAGTGCCTCGTCGCCGCGCTTGGCGTAGCCGTCCGCGGACCACTGCCCGATCTGGCCCACATCCTCGGCCGCCCGCTGCGGGTACTCGGACACGACCGTGGCCAGCACGCTCATGGCCAGGTCCTCGACCGACGCCGCCTCGTTTTGCACCCGCGTCGCCAGCTGCTGCATGTCGAGGAAGGCGTAGTTGCCGGCGTGCAGCTCAAAGTCGCCGTGCGGCTGCTGCGACAGCGTGGCGAGCATCTCCTTGACCGTGCCCGCCGCCGCGGCGCCGGCCGTTGGGGTGGCGCCGACCGAGAGGAGGAGCGGGCTGCGGTGCCTCGAGGCACTGCCGCCGCTGCCCTGGGCGAGGGCGAGGTTGAGGAGCTCGCCAGCCCGGTTGACGGCCGAGAGCTCCTGCTTGAGGTACTCGACGGCCTGCTCGACGCCGCGCGCGTCGTACGAGTGGCCGGCGTGGCCGTAGACGCCGTAAAGCGAGACGTTGGGCGACGCCACGATGGCCTCGGTGATGGCGTGGAAGATGGCGGATCCGGGCAGCACGCCTGCGCGGACGTCGCCGGTCTCGACCTTGAAGAAGACGCTGAAGGGCGCGCTTGCCTCTGCGTCGGACTTGGCGAGGTGGGCTTGGAGGGTGCGCACCTGGGCGGGCTGGTCGACGATGAGGACGAGGTCGAATTCCGGGTCGAGCTGGCGGCCCTGGTGTCGCAGCTCGACGAGCTCTGCGATCTTGTCGGCGGTGATGGGGAGGCCGTAGCAGAGGTTCTTGAGGGCAAAGCCGGCATCCTTACCGACGAGTCCGTCGATTGCGCCCCGGAGCTCTGCCATGGTGGAGACGATGGCCGAGGTAGAGCTGCCGTCGTGCGTCTGCAGCTGCATCCTGGCCCCCTCGAGGGTCTTGTGCGTCTTGAGGTGGGGGCGGAGGGGTGCGCCAAACGAGGCGGCGATGCGCTGCATGCGTGCGCAGTTGCGCTGTACGGTGGCGCGGTCGATGATGAGGGCGGGGGTGCGGACCGCCGAGAGGGGCTGACCGACGAGGGCGCGGCGTGCCTCGTCGACGGGGCCGTCAAAGGCGAGGGTGTGGGTGGCCGTGGTGGTCATTGCGGCGGCGACGGTCGAGCGAGAGAGCAGACTGGTGGCTGTTGAGCGATCAAGTGCCTGGCGGTGGAGAGCGGTCGGTGGTAGGGAGGCGTGGCTGGACGATAATGGCGGTGGTGGTGATGGTGATGGTGGTGACAGGAGGAGCAGCTGGCCGGGTCGAGCCTAGGTGGGCTCTGATGCGTTGTCATTGTTCGAGTCAGAGCCACCTTGGACACCGGCGGAGTGAGGGCGGGGGGAACGGCGGAGTGCACCGACGGAGGCAGCCCAGCCGGACGTCGGCGTTGTACGTACGTCGGTCCGTCTGTGCGGGATGCTCCGCATCGTTGCGGGAGCGGAATCTAGAAGACGGCGAGCGAGGCAGGATCGATCCAGGCGCGGGGGCGAGCGAATGAAATGCGCGGCAAATTGACCGATGCCAACGCCGAGCCTGGCTTGGGCTTACCAGGCCGGCCTGCCAACCGAGCCCAGCCGGCGGCCAAAGCGACGGCCAACTCGCGAGCGAAGCGCAGCACAGCACAGCGTCCGCCGGCGCATCTGGCGGTCAATCGGGGCCCGTCACCTGGTCTGCCGATATCGTCAATCGGGAGATTCCGCCTCGCCGCTCCCAGACCAACACCTGCGGTCCAGGGGCCTGGCTTGGCTGCTGCTGCTGCTCGACGCTGTGGTGGTGGGCGTGCGTGGGTGCGTGCGTCGGCGCAAGGGCCCACAGACACGCGCGCAACCCTCAATCTAGCGGCCCGAAGCGAGCAGCCTGGTTGGCCTTCGCCGAAACCAACACCCCGCCACCACCATCGCCTCTCCTCCGCATTTCCCCCCCCCCCCTCCCTCACTCTCCGTTCAAGGATCAGCGACACTAGTCATCGTCTCGCCCGGCGCGAAGGCACGCACCTGACACGACAGGCCAAAACCAGCCCCCGACGCACAGCTCGACCCGCCTGCGCTGCTGCTTCCACAAGTTCGCAGATACCCTGCTTCCTCGCCCAGCCCTGGACCGAACCTCGGCCGTCGAGGCTCGGATCAGCGCTTGGCGGGCCGTCTTCACATTCCGGCACACTTGGCATTGCGCTCATTTCTCCGCTGCCACGGCTCTCGCGGTCGCCTTGCCTGACTCATCTCATCTTCCCCCATGGACGGTGACTACGAGCCCGGGTCCGGGCGCATGCCGCCTAGGCTCGACTCGCAGTCCGACCTTGCAAGGGTCAGCGGCTCCTTTGACGTCCGCATCCTCAAGAGCTACCTCAAGTCGCTTCTTCCCATCATTCTCGACACCGATGCCGTCCTCCTCGAGACGCTGCTGTTCGAAAAGGACAGCTGGAAGGAGACGGCCGCCCTCTTTGCAAACGACCCGAGCATCATGACCGCCTACGTAGACAAGGTGCGCCGCGAGGACGCGTCCTCGGATACCGCCGAGAAAGGTGAGCAGCTGGCTTCCGTGCGCTTGGTCTTCCTGTTCCGCGAGCCAACCCAGCTCACACGTCGATCTTGGCCTGTCCCTCGTTCCGTCTATCGGTCCTGTTGCTCCTATCGCTCGCCGCACAGACATGTTCGAGTATGACATCTCACCGCAGGCGACCTACTCGACACGGCATGTCTCGAGCATCGCCCTGATCAAGCGCGTCACCGTCCTTGACGAGGCGCTTCCGCTCTCGCATCAGCTTCACATCCTCACGCTCTTCGGCCCTGCGGGGATTGCGGGTCCGGCCGTGGCGGCTGGGGCCTCGCGGGATGCGGCCGATGCGCAGGCAAAGGGCGCCGGCGACGAGGATCAGGTCATGGCGGCCACGGTGCGCGAGAGCCCGTACGAGGCGCTCCACAGCGTTGTCCACAATGTCATGGCGCCCTGGTTCGACGCCTTTGTGTCGAGCAAGAGCTCGCGCGCCAAGACGAGCGCGGCCAACGGCGCCGACACCCACGATGCCGACTCCAAGATGGGCATCCCCATGGCCAAGCGCCGATTTGCCGAGCTCGAACTCAGCCTGCTCCACCTGCAGCAGAATGTCGAGCTGCCCGAGATCCACCTTGCCGTGCACCCCGTCATCCGGGCCGCCGTCGAGCGGTGCCAGGCCGCTGGGCAGAAGGTGACGGTCGAGGCGATTCAGCCGGCGTCGCTGCTAGAGGACAGCTCGTTTCTCAACAAGCTCCAGGCCGACGTCAACTCTTGGGTCAAGGAGGTCCAGACCATCACCAAGCTCGATCGCAACGTGGCCTCGGGCTCGGCGTCGCAGGAGGTCAGCTTCTGGCTCGCCATGGAAAAGGCCGAGGACGGCATCGAGCAGCAGCTGCGCTCCGACCCCATCGTGCTCACGCTCGACGTGCTGCGCAACGCCAAGCGCTTCCACGCCACCGTCTCGTTCCTCGCCGACACCGGGCTCAAGGAGTGCGCCGAAAAGGTGCACAACTACAACATGCTGATGAAGGACTTCCCCATCAACGAGCTGCTGTCGGCCTCGAACCTCGACAAGTGCGCCGACGCGCTGTCGGCCATCTTCGGCCACATCAACCGCAAGATGCGCATCAGCCCGTATCCGATGAAGCGCCTCCTCCCCCTCGTCGAGTCGATCAGCCGCGACCTCAACGAGACGCTGCTCAAGGTGCTCGCGTCGCAGCGCATCATGTACCTCGACTTCCCGCGCTTCTGGGAGACGATCACGGCCGCCAGCGAAGTGTTCCACGTGTGGGACGAGCTGGTCAAGGACTTTATCAACATTGCGCGCGAGGTGACCCGCAAGCGGACGGAAAAGTTTCTGCCGATCAAGATCAACCCGGCGCACGCAAAGCTGCGCGAGCGACTCAACTACATCGGCGCCTTCCGCAAGACGCACGAGCAGCTGCGGGCCATGGTGAGCTCCGGAAAGGGCCTGATGGGCGCCGGCAGCGCCCAGGCGCTCGCGTCGTACGACAAGCACGTGGCCATGCAGAACCTGGCTGGCATCGAGATGAGCGAGGAGATCCGCGCCGCCTATGACCAGGTGCGCGTCATCGACGTGCTCGACGTCAGCCAGGAAGGAAACGAGATCTGGACGGCGGCCGAGTCGTCGTACAACGAGCGCGTGGCTCGCGTCGAGAGCAACCTCATCGCCCGCCTCCGCGACCTGCTCGGCCAGGCCAAGTCGGCCCGCGAGATGCTGCGCGTCCTGTCGCAGTTCAACAGCCTCTTTGTGCGGCCAAAGGTGCGCGGCGCCGTCCAAGAGTACCAGCAGCAGCTGCTCAACAGCGTCAAGGCCGACATCAAGACGCTCCACGACAAGTTCAAGTCGCAGTACCGCGCGTCCGAGGCCAACCACATGACGCAGATGCGCGATATCCCCGAGATCACGGGCGCCATCATCTGGGCGCGGCAGATCGAGCGGCAGCTCAACGTCTACATGAAGCGGGTCGAGGACGTGCTCGGCAAGGGCTGGCAGCTCTACGCCGAGGGCCAGAAGCTGCAGAGCGAGAGCGAGACGTTCCGCCGCAAGCTCGACACGCGGCCGCTCTTCGACACCTGGCTCCACGAGATCAACCGCCGCGACATGAACATCTCGGGCCGCGTCTTTGACGTGACGCGCAACCGCGCCGCCGGCAACGCGTTCCAGCTCGTCGTCAGCTTCGACGGCCACACCATCACGCTCTTCAAGGAGGTGCGCAACCTGATCTGGCTCAACTTCCAGATCCCGCACGCCATCACCAACCTGGCAAAGGACGCCAAGAAGGTGTACCCGAACGCCGTGTCGCTCATGGAGACGGTGCGCACCTACAACCAGACGTGCAACCTGGTCAAGGCCAACCCGGGCGTCGCCTGCCTCCTGGCCCAGGTCTACAGCGACGCGCACCAGCTCATTTCGCAGGGCATGGCGCTGCGCTGGGAGCACTTTGCCAACATCTACGAGAGCCACCGCGCCGCCGCCTACCTGCCGGGCGCCATCGCCGACACGGGCCGCGAGAACAAGCAGATTGCCTTTGTCCGCCACTTTGCCAGCATCGTCAGCCTCTTCCAGGACAAGACGATGGAGGTGATCGAGGTGCAGCGCGACATGCTCTCGGTCATCGAGGACCTCGGCACCTGCGAGTACTCGGCCCACGCCTTTTCCGAACGCCTGCTCAGGATCCAGCAGACGATCGACAAGCTCAACCTCGAGGGCTTCCCCAACCTCGACGACTGGGTGGCCGACCTGGACGCCAAGATCGAGCGCACGCTCCTCCAGCGCCTGCGCGCCGTCAGCGAGTCGTGGTGCCGGGAGTTTGTCAAGGACGACGGCGGCGGCAGCGGCAAGAGCAACCGCGAGATGGCCAGGGACAAGGCCGCCGCCGCCGCCGCTGGGGCCGCGGGCCGCGCCGACAACCGCGTCCAGCTGCCGCCCATTACCCACGAGATCCGGATCCAGAACCAGGTCATCTTCCTCGACCCTCCGCTAGAGAATGCGCGTGCCCACTGGTTCCGGCAGCTGCACGAGGTGCTCGCCGTCGTCTGCTGCCTCAAGCGCGTCAAGAGCTCGCGCTACGAGATCGGCCTCCAGATGCGCGGCAACGACAAGGCGTCCGAGCAGAACTACACCTCGCTCCTCACGCGCTTCGAGGACGACACGCTGGAGCGCCCGTTTGTGCTGATCGAGGCCAAGCTGGCCGAGGTCGGCACCTACGTCGCCAAGTGGCTCCAGTTCCAGTCGCTGTGGGACCTCGAGACCGAGCACGTCTTTGCGCGCCTCGGCGACTCGCTCGCAGACTGGCAGCAGCTGCTGGCCGAGATCCGCAAGACGAGGAGCACCTTTGACAACTCCGACAGCCAGCGCTCGTTTGGCACGTGCATCATCGACTACGAGCAGGTGCAGAGCAAGGTCAATGCCAAGTACGACGCGTGGCAGCGCGACATCCTCAACCGCTTCGGCAGCAAGCTCGGCGTGGCGATGCGCGAGGTCCACGCGGCGGTGCTCAAGGCGAGAAACGACCTCGAGCAGCACAGCATCGAGGGCAGCTCGACGGCGCAGGCGGTCACCTTCATCACGATGGTGCAGGACCTCAAGCGCAAGACCAAGGTGTGGGCGCCGCAGATCGAAATCTTTGGCAGCGGGCAGAAGACGCTCGAGCGGCAGCGTTACATGTTCCCCCAGGACTGGCTCTACGTCGACCAGGTCGAGGGCGAGTGGAGCGCGTTCCAGGAGATCCTCAACCGCAAGAACGCCAGCATCCAGGAGCAGCTCGCCGGCCTCCAGATGAAGATCATCGCAGAGGACAAGATCGTCAGCGACAAGATCGCCGCCATCATCGCCGAGTGGGAGGAGCAGAAGCCGATCCACGGGACGCTCAAGGCCGACGCCGCCATGAACACGATCAACGTGTTCGAGTCGCGGATCGGCAAGCTGGCCGAGGACCGCGCGCTCGTCATCCGCGCCAAGGAGGCGCTCGACCTCGACCACAGCGCCGACGACCGCATGGAGCCCGTCTTCGAGGAGCTGCGCGACCTCAAGACGGTCTGGACCGCCCTCTCCGGCACCTGGAGCCAGCTGGCCGAGATCCGCGAGCTCAACTGGAACAACATCCGGCCGCGCAAGCTTAGGCAGCAGCTCGACGCGCTGCTGGCTCAGACCAAGGAGATGCCCAGCCGGATGCGCCAGTACGCCGCCTTCGAGTACGTGCAGGAGCACCTGCGTGCGCTCCTCAAGAGCAACTCGACAATCGCCGACCTCAAGTCCGAGGCGATGCGCGAGCGCCACTGGCGGTCGATGTTCAAGCAGCTCAAGGTGCAGACCCCCTACTCGCCCAGCAGCATGACGCTCGGCACCGTGTGGGACCTCGACCTCAAGAAGCACGACGTCGTCATCAAGGCCGTCGTGGCCCAGGCCCAGGGCGAGCTGGCGCTCGAAGAGTACCTCAAACAGGTCCGCGAGAGCTGGACCAACTACACGCTCGACCTGGTCAACTACCAGAATAAGTGCAGGCTGATCCGGGGCTGGGACAACCTCTTCCAGCTGGCGGGCGACAACCTCAACGCGCTGCGCGCCATGTCGATGAGCCCGCACTACAAAGTGTTTGAGGAGGAGGCGTCGCTGTGGGAGGACCGCCTGTCCAAGATCTCGGTCCTCTTCGACACCTGGATCGACGTCCAGCGCCAGTGGGTCTACCTCGAGGGCATCTTCACCGGCAGCGCCGAGATCCGCCACATCCTGCCCGTCGAGAGCTCGCGCTTCCAGAACATCAACACCGAGTTCCTCACGGTCATGAAGAAGGTGTACAAGTCGCCCTTTGTGCTCGACGTCCTCAACATCCCCGGCGTCCAGAAGAGCCTCGAGCGCCTGGCCGAGCTGCTCAGCAAGATCCAAAAGGCGCTCGGCGAGTACCTCGAGCGGGAGCGCGCCAACTTCCCGCGCTTCTACTTCGTCGGCGACGAGGACCTGCTCGAGATCATCGGCAACAGCAAGGACACGTCGCGCATCCTCAAGCACCTCAAGAAGATGTTTGCCGGCCTGGCCACGATCCGCATGGACGACGACGCCACCGTGCTCGAGGCCATGGTCAGCAAGGAGGGCGAGACGGTGCCCTTCCGCTCGCCCATCGTGCTCAAGGACCACGCCAAGATCAACGACTGGCTCGCCAAGGTCGAGAGCGAGATGCGCATCTCGCTCGCCGAGCTCCTCTCCGAGGCCGCCGCGGACCTCGAGGCGTTCTACACCGACGCAGAGACGCTCACCGTCGAGCGCTTCCTCGCCTGGATCGAACAGTACCCAGCCCAGCTGGTCGTTCTCGCCGTCCAGGCCCAGTGGACCGCGCTGGTCGATGACGGCCTCGAGAGCGGCACGGGCCTCGATGGCCCGCTTGCCATCGTGCGGCGCGGCCTCGACCTGCTGGCCGACACGGTGCTGACCGACGTCGGCCCCCTGCAGCGGCGCAAGTGCGAGCACCTCATTACCGAGCTCGTCCACCAGCGCGACGTCATCCGCCTCCTCCAGCAGCAGGGCGTGCAGAGCGCCCGCGACTTTGGCTGGCTCTCGCAGATGCGCTTCTACCTCAACCGCCAGGTCGACAAGCCCCTCGACCGGCTGACGGTCCGCATGGCCAACGCGAGCTTCCCTTACGGCTACGAGTACCTCGGCGTGCCCGATCGCCTCGTCCAGACGCCCCTCACGGACCGGTGCTACCTGACGCTGACCCAGGCTCTCCACTACAAGCTCGGCGGCGCGCCCTTCGGCCCCGCAGGTACCGGTAAGTCGACCCTCTCGCCGCGTTGCTTCCGGCAGAGGCGGGGCCGACGACTGACTGAGCGAGCCTCGCACTGCTGCTCCCTTGTCCCCCCCACTCCCTCCTCCCTTCCCCGTCCGACCTGCCACGGACAACAGGCAAGACCGAGTCCGTCAAGGCACTCGGTGTGCAGCTCGGCATGTTCGTCATCGTCTTCTGTTGCGACGAGACTTTCGACTTCCAGGCCATGGGTCGCATCTTTGTAGGCCTCTGCCGGGTCGGTGCGTGGGGCTGCTTCGACGAGTTCAATCGTCTCGAGGAGAGGATCCTCTCCGCAGTCTCGCAGCAGATCCAGAGCATCCAGCAGGGCCTGGCGGCTTCTTCGTCGGACGCCGTCACCCGCGTGGGCGCCGCCAGTGCCGAGAGCTCCGGCGAGATTGAGCTCCTGGGCAAGCGCGTGCCGCTCAATGACCGCGTCGGCATCTTCATCACCACCAACCCTACCTATGCCGGCCGATCCAACCTGCCGGACAACCTCAAGAAGCTCTTCCGCAACATGGCCATGACGCACCCGGACCGCGAGCTGATTGCCCAGGTCATGCTCTTCTCCCAGGGCTTCCGCACCGCCGAGATCCTGGCGTCCAAGATCGTCCCCTTCTTCGTCCTCTGCTCGGAGCAGCTCAGCCCCCAGCCGCACTACGACTTTGGTCTGCGTGCGCTCAAGGCGGTGCTCGTCAGCGCCGGCCAGCTGAAGCGCGAGAGCATGCTGCTCGCCGCAGGCTCGGCGCCCTCCGAGGCCGCGGCGTCGATCGAGGTGGCCGAGCAGGAGATCCTCATCCAGAGCGTATCGGAGACAATCGTGCCCAAGCTCATCGCAGAGGACGTGCCGCTACTCAAGAGCCTGCTCTCGGACGTCTTCCCCGGCGTCGAGTACAAGCCCGTCAACCTCGACGTGCTGCGAGAGCACATCGCCGCCGTGTGCGCCGAGCGCCACCTGGTCGAGGGCGGCCTGTGGACCGAAAAGGTGCTCCAGCTGTACCAGATCCAGAAGATCTCGCACGGCCTCATGCTGGTGGGTCCTTCGGGCACGGGCAAGACCCAGGCCTGGCAGGTGCTCCTGGCGGCCCTGGAACGCCTCGAGGGCAAGGAGGGCGTGGCGTACGTCATCGACCCCAAGGCGGTGTCCAAGGACAGCCTCTACGGCACGCTCGACCCGACGACGCGAGAGTGGAACGACGGCCTCTTCACGCAGGTGCTGCGCAAGATCATCGACAACGTCCGTGGAGAGAGCGCCAAACGCCACTGGATCATCTTTGACGGCGACGTCGACCCGGAGTGGGTCGAGAACCTCAACAGCGTCCTCGACGACAACAAGCTGCTCACGCTGCCCAACGGCGAGCGCCTCAACCTGCCGTCCAACGTGCGCATCATGTTTGAGGTCGAGTCGCTCAAGTATGCCACGCTGGCCACCGTCTCGCGCTGCGGCATGATCTGGTTCAGCGACGACATCGTCCGGCCCTCGATGCTCTACTCGCGCTACCTCAGCTCGCTGCGCGCCGTGCCCATCCAGAACGACGACGAAGACGTCCTCGGCCCGGCCGCGGCTCGGCGCAACACGGCGGCCGTCGACGGCGAGGTGTCGCCGGACATGCTCGTCCAGCGGAGCGTCGCCGACGCCCTCACCTCGTTCTTCGAAGACGATGGCCTGGTCAGCGGCGCGCTCGAGTTTGCCAAGAGCGTGCCGCACATCATGGACTTCACCGAGGCCCGCGCGCTGTCGACGCTCTTCTCGCTGATCAACAAGACGGTCCGAAATGTGGTCGAGTACAATTCGCAGCATCCCGACTTCCCGCTGCCGCAGGACCAGGTCGAGGCCTACGCCAGCAAGCGCCTCCTCGTGGGCATCGTCTGGGCCTTTACCGGAGACGCCAAGCTCGACGTTCGCGCCGAGATGGGCGACTACCTGCGGGGCCACACGGGCGTCGACCTGCCCCCGCTCGGCCCTGGAAGCTCGCTGATCGACTTTGACGTCACGCCCGGCCAGGGAGCCGAGTGGTCGCCGTGGCTCGACAAGGTGCCCACGATCGAGATCGAGACGAGCGCCGTCTCGTCGGCCGACGTCGTCATCCCCACGGTCGACACGGTGCGCCACGAAGACGTCCTGTACTCGTGGCTGTCGGAGCACAAGCCGCTGATGCTCTGCGGCCCTCCCGGTTCGGGCAAGACGATGACGCTCTTTTCGGCGCTGCGCAAGCTGCCAGACATGGAGGTCGTCGGCCTCAACTTTTCCAGCGCCACCACGCCCGAGCTGATCCTCAAGACGTTCGAGCAGTACTGCGAGTACCGCAAGACGCCCAACGGCGTCGTGCTGGCGCCGGCGCAGATCGGCAGGTGGCTGGTCCTCTTCTGCGACGAGATCAACCTGCCGGCGACGGATAAGTACGGCACGCAGCGCGTCATCTCGTTCCTCCGCCAGCTCGTCGAGAGCGGCGGCTTCTGGAGGATCTCGGACAAGGCGTGGGTCAAGCTGGAGCGCATCCAGTTTGTCGGCGCGTGCAACCCGCCGACAGACCCGGGCCGTGTGCCGCTGAGCCATCGCTTCCTGCGCCACGCCCCGCTTATCATGGTCGACTATCCGGGAGAGATTTCGCTCAACCAGATCTACGGCACCTTCAACCGCGCCCTGCTCAAGGTGACGCCCAACCTGCGCGGCTACGCCGAGCCGCTGACGGCGGCCATGGTCGACTTCTACCTGGCGTCGCAGAAGAGGTTCACCCCGGACATCCAGGCGCACTACATCTACTCGCCGCGTGAGCTGACGCGCTGGATGCGCGGCATCTACGAGGCCATCAAGCCGCTCGAGACGCTCTCGGTCGAGGGGCTGGTGCGCGTCTGGGCGCACGAGGGCCTCAGGCTGTTTCAGGACCGCCTGGTCGGCTCCGACGAGAAGCGATGGACCGACGAGCAGATTGACGCCGTCGCCCAGAACCGCTTCCCCACGCTCGACCTCAATGCGGCGCTGGCGCGGCCCATCCTCTTCTCCAACTGGCTCTCCAAGGAGTACCGCAGCGTCGACCGCGAGTCGGTGCGCGACTACGCCAAGGCTCGGCTGCGCGGCTACTCGGACGAGGAGCTCGACGCCAACCTGGTGCTGCACGACTCGGTGCTCGACCTGGCGCTCAGCTGCGACCGCGTGCTCCGCCAGCCCGCGGGCCACCTGCTGCTGATTGGCGCCAGCGGCTCGGGCCGCACCACGGTGACGCGCTTCTGCGCCTGGCTGCGCGGCCTGTCGCTCTTTTCCATCTCGACGTCGAACAAGTACACCGAGGAAAACTTTGACGAGGACCTGCGCGCCTTGCTCAAGCGCGTGGGCACCAAGGGCGAAAAGGTGTGCTGGACCATCGACGAGAGCCAGATGTCGAACGCGGCGCGTCTCGAAAAGCTCAACACGCTCCTCGCCAACGCCGAGGTGGCGGGCCTCTTTGAGGGCGACGAGCACTCGGCCCTCATCTCGGCGCTCAAGGAGGCCAGCCAGCGCGACGGACTCATGCTCGACGCCGAAGAGGAGCTGTTTGCCTTTTTCCGACAGCAAATCACCCAGAACCTGCACGTTGTGAGTAGCGCGCGAGAGCGGCCGGACGCAGCGTCGACTGCGGCGGCAGTGAGGACGACACGGGCTGCACAGCGTCTGGCTGACCTTGACTCCGAACCCCCCCTCTCCCCGCTTTCGCAGACGCTAACCATGAACCCGCCCGAAGGCGGTACGGGCAGCAAGGCGGCCGCCTCGCCTGCCCTCTTCAACCGTACCTCGATCCTCTTCTGCTGGTGAATGCGCCGGCGCGATCGACCCTCGACTACCGACCCGCCCTCCCGGCGGATCACTCGACGTCGGCGCTTCCCTGTTGCTCGGACCCCGCGCTCCCTCTTTCGCCTTTCTTCTCTTACGAACCCGAGACGTTTCCACCATGCCAAAATCCGCCGACGCAGCTCCTTCGATCTCGGCCCACGCTCGCATCTTCTCTCACTCGACCTGCTCCGTCGACGCTCAGACGACGTCCACGGCGATCTTTCCGTCTTTTGATTCTCGCGCCGCGACCGCAGCTCTACAGAGATCTAGCTCTCGCATCATCGGCGTCCTGTTCTTTCCCCCTCTTTGCCCTTCTTCTGCCTCCCTTCCACGCTCAGTTGGCGCGCTTCTTGCTGCCCTTGGCCTTGACCACCTTGAAGCCGCCGAAGCTGTCGACGCCCGCCTTGGCCGAGCCCGGGCCCTTCATGACGTCGGCGGCGCTTCGCGCCATCTGCGGCGACGTGGCGCCGCCGCTGCTGCGTCCGCCAATGCCGCCGCCGCTGCTGCCGCTACCGCCACCGAAGCCTGCCGCGCCGCTTCCAAAGGTGCCCATGCCGCCCGAGCTGCCGGCCGACGACCACTTGGACTGGAACGGCGTCGAGGCCGACGATGCGCCGCCGCCCGACGACACCGACGAAGACGACGAGTACGGGTGCTGCTGCCGGCCCTGGACGTCCATCTTGCGCTTCGACACAAAGTCGGCGGCGAACCGGCGTCCGTCGAGCGTGCTGCTGTTGGCGTAGACGCTCTCGGCGATGATCTCGATGACGTCCGGCGATGGGTCCAGCGGGAACGACATCAGCATCTCGATAAAGTCGTCGACCCGGATCGTCAGGCCCTTGAGGTTGTCCTTGAGGTAGCGCACGAACTCGGGACTGGGCGAGTTGATGTCGTTGAAGGCGGGGGCGGCGGCGGGCGCAGGCTTGGGCTTGAGCGCGCTGCCGACGCTGCCGGACGTAGGGGCTGCGAGGTGGCGCGTGTGGGCGTCGAGGGCGCCGGCGAACCCGCCGCCGCCGAAGCCGGCTTAGCTCCCGCGGTGATCCAGCCCCGAGCCGGCAGCCGGCACGAC